ATAAGTACCATGGATTATAAATAGGTATTCAGTCAAATCGATGTCAAAAATATATAATTTAAGCCTTCTTTATGGAAAAAAATTCAACTCTAAAATATTACTGACTGGTTTAAAAAAGCCATGCCTTTTATTTATTGAAAGACAAAAGAATATTAAAGCCGCCCACTTATTTAAAAGCTAATTAGCCTTACCTTAAATAGAAAATTTATGATAAAATAAGGATTAGAGGTCATGGTTTAATAGCTAGTGTGAGAGTTTAATATGCAAAAAATAATAATTAAAAATAAATCCCTTTTTAGTTATTCGCGCGTGTAAATTTATTAAATCTGTGGGAAAAATGTGCTAGTTTTTTAAATATTGTGAGGGAAAGGAGATTGAAAAAATAATAGATTTTTAAATTATTTTAGACCTTTCAGTAAATTAATATAGCAAAAACTCTACTTAATTAATTATCCATTTACGTTATAAAAAGATTAAAACTATAATTGAAAGAGTAGGTGGAGGGTTTTAAATTGGTTTTAAGTGTTAAGATGGTTTTTTGGCAAAAAATATGAATTTAAATTGACGGAACTAAACATTGTAGATTAAGCATATCCGGTAATAATTTTAATTAAAAAAATTTTTTAATGAATAAAATTTTATTTAATTTTTAAAATTATTTAAAAACGTCATTTTAATTTTTAAACAATACCAAAAAATTAAAAAGCAAAGTCTGCTCTTGTTTTAAAATTCTTTGCCGTATAACAATAAAAATAAAATTGAAAGAAAGACAACAATTTATTCTAAAATATTTTTCAAACTTCTCACAGTCTATTGTTAACTTATCGTCATTTAAAAATAAAATCTTACAAAAAAAATAATTTTTTAAATTTAATTTAACGTTTATTTCTATGAAAGAAAAAAACAAGATTTATAAAAAAATGGCTTTAAAGCAAATAAATTTTGTACTTTTGTAGTAGTATTAATGACATAAAAAGTTATTCCAATTAAAAAATATTAATGATATACTTGCCCAAATATTTAAGCGCAAAATGTTAAAGTATCTAGTAATTTAATGTTCTATGAATTTTCAAAGTAAACATAAAAATTAAACAATTTGAAAAAAACTTTTATTATTAAACAAGTTATTTATTGCATTAAAGAAAAGTTAAACAAACTAATTAAATTATTATAGAAAAAATATAATTTATTTTTAAAGAAAACAAAACAATTTACCTCAAACTTTTAATTAAATTAATGAAAAGGAAAGTACAATTTTGTGTTCTTTGGATCGCTTAAATATATAGGGAATTTAAAAAATATTTGGCAACGAAAACTTTAAAACAATAATTACAGTCAACATTATTGTAAAAATTGGGCAAATGAATCCGACTGTAATCAAAATTTTCACAGACATAGAACAGATAAATGTTAAAATATTTCTATAAAAATGTGTAGAAAAAATTAACGTATTTTTCCAAATACAGCCCCATGGGGCTGTATTTTTCAACTAACCTCCAGACTGGGGCTGTATTAGAGAATGGAGCTTTATTTGGAAAAATACGTTTATTTATTAATTTCTAAATAAAATTAAATTAAGGGAAATGTATTAATAGTTAACTCAAAATGCTCAAGACAAACCAAATAATATTACTAAATTTCGCATAAATGTTGGACAAATTTAAAAAAATATTAAATAAAACGTTCTAAAATAAAAGTTATCTCATTCAAAATAGCAAAAATAATTATAAAATTATTCTCAAGGGTTTCACATATATTTCTAATTAACTCATTGTCTTTTCTGGTTCAGGTGCATCTTTATGCCATGTACCTCGATTATTTTGTTGATGTTGTCGAGCAGTCTCTTCCAAAACTTTTTGTGACCAATTAACATCAAAAGGGTCTGCAACAGAAATTTGTTTGTCTGAAAAAGACCCATCCCCAACTCCTTTAAACAAGGAATATTCACTTCTTGGTGGGCTTAAAGAGAAATCAGTTTCCTGTAGCAATTGATATTCAATTCGACGACCAGACGAAGCTTTACGCGAATGTGTTTTATTTCCACTTATAGACTCATCACGAAGAATTTTGGAATTTTTCTTTTCATTCAAAGGCGATAAGGATTTAGGAGGCGTTGTTTTTTTACTATTTGCTGAAGAAATTGGAATTGGTAGGGTTTCAGCAGTCGGCTCTTGACGCATTGTTTGTGACCAGGAAGGGTTTCTGACTGAAAATTAAATTTTATTTATTACGTATTATTTAGAATAATAGTAATTTCAAAAATATAGCTAAATATTTATTTAAAAATTACCAAAAGGTGGCAAAGGAGGCAAAGGCTGTAATGGTGGAAGACTTGAATTGTTTGCCAAATTTATTTCATGCCCAGGATTAGCTAGGAAATTCTCCCCTTTAGAAGTCTGCTGCTGAGGAAATTGAGTCCAACTTTGACGAAGTTGTTGAATATCATTAGCTGGTTTAACTTGATTAGACAACCAATCAATTGTTGTTGAACGGGGTAAAATCATTGAAGGAGGAAGATTGTCACAAGCAAAAGATGATGAACGAGAAATTGTTGCTGCTCGGCGAAAATGTTGTTCTAACCAGTCCTCAGCTTTTAAGGGTGGTGGAGATTCCTGTTGTTGTTCAATACTGGTTGTAGTAAAAGGATCAGCTGGCGGGGAACCGCTAAAATTAAATATATAAAAGATAAAAATATAGAAAGATTAATGAGATTGGGTAGAAGGAAGATTTTTAGTCAAATTCTCGTGAAAATACCCAAAAATGTTAGAAAAATGTTTAGGAGAGAAATTACTATAGAATTATTAAATTTAGTTACAAAAATTTAACAAAAACTTCAAAGGCACAGTTGACCGAAACTGTTAATTTTACCAAAAAGTTTTCTAAAAATAATTAAATTTACCTGTTTCCACTCCCTCGTTGTTCCTCCTCAAAATTCCTGTAAGATTTCGACTGCATTGGAACGTTTGATTGTTGTAGAAGTGATTGATTTTGTTGTTTATTCTCCTCGTAGATGGTAGGCGGTGGAATCATGCTGTTAATTAGAGGAGGAGGCCAATTGTTTACACCACCTAAAAATATTCATTTTTAATTTAAATGTTATTGTATTTTCTAAAGAAAAATTAATTTAAAGAAAGCCTTAATTTTATATAAATAAAAATAGCAAGAAAATAAAAATCACAAATTATAAAATAAAAAAAAATTAAAAAGGCCAAAATGAATGGATTTATCATAATTTTTTAAAAAATTATGATAAAACTGCAAAAATGGTTTAGCATTTAAAAATGATTAATATAGTATAACGACAGTTTGCAAACAAAAAAAACTCTCTAAAGTGGGTACTGATAAATAAATTTAATAAATATTCAAAATAGTAATTCTGTTGTTTCGTTTTTTGGTTAAATAAATTTTGTAAAAATGTAATTCTATTGGGGAAAAAGTAAAAAATGACAAAAAAATTAAATTGTTGAAAGATGATATAAAAATTGTCAAAAACTAGGGTTAAAAGAAGATAAAAAATATTAATTTAAAAAATTTTAAACGGAAAAAAAAATAAATTAGTTTTCAATTTTTTTGCTATTATTTTAATATCGAAATAAATTTCTAATCAAAATTTATTTATATGAAACACCGAAGAATGAGTTTATTTTCGATTTTTCTCATTTGGAGATGAAAAAATGGGGTGGGGGAGGGGAGATTTTTTGAACTATATGGCAAAGGTCAAAATTTCATAGGTTTTTTGATCGAGGTGGGTCTGGACCAAGGCCTGGGCTTTTCCTGTACCCAGAGTCAAGGCCCAGGCATTTTTTGATCTTCCTAGGTTTTTCATGAACTAAAGGCCTAGGATCCGGCCCAAGTCAATAGATCAAACCCGGAACCCGGGAACAGGTCCAGGCTTTTCAAAAATCTCGATCACTAATAGGTAAGGAGGCAAAAATTTGTGAAAGCGTGTATTCCGCTCCTTCCATAATTAACGCCCCAATTAAATCGAAAAAGTTCCAAAATTAATTTAACTACCTTCAACAAAGCTGGGCATAGAATAAGGCATAGTTCTATAAAAACGGCTATTCCAGTTGGATAGAGAAGCATTATCAATTGAATTTTGTTCATTTCCTTGATCATCATCTCCCTCCCAAATTGGTTCATTATACAAAGACTTTCTTGGTATAAAACGGGTTGTTGAGGGCCTATTGTTGTGTTGTAATGTATTGAAAGATTTGTTGACAGGAACTGGTGGGGCATTAAATGCAGGAAATGAAGAAGTTGAAAATGAAGGGCGAAGAGAACGCTAAAAAAATACATATTTAAATTTGTTTTTGGAATGTAAAAAAGTAGGAAAGTTCATGTGGGTTTAATACAGGCCCGTAGCCAGGGGGGGGGGGGTGAGGGGGGAATTCCCCCCCCCCCCCCCGAAATGGGAAAAAGGAAAAAATTTGGGGAAGGGCTGGGGCAAAAAAAGTGAATTTTTTTGGCCTACGGCCTCTGAAATTTAAAAAATTTTCGCCTGCGGCGCTAAAAAGGAAGAAATCTGGCTTCTTGAGGTCCAAAATTCAAAAAATTTTCGCCTGCGGCGCTGAAAATCAAATTTTTGGCGCCTGCGGCGCCGAAAAAGTGAATTTTTTTGGCCTACGGCCTTCTAAAATTCTCAAAATTTTCGCCTGCGGCGCTGAAAATAAAAATTTTTGGCGCCTTCGGCGCCAAAAATTTGGCGCAAAAAAATTTCCCCCCCTCGAAAAAAAATCCTGGCTACGGGCCTGGTTTAATACTAGAGGTTGGCAAAATCGCATTTCCGGGATCCCGAGTCGGGATTTTTTAACCGATGCCGGGATCCCGAGGGATAAATCCCGAAAAAATCCAGTATCCTGAAAATTAAAAAATCCGAGATTTCAGGATTCCGGAAAATCCCATCGGGATCCCGTCCCGCGTCGACCTCTAGTTGAAACTAAAGTAACAGGAAGGTCTAGTCATTTTTCTAAAAAGTTTTTCATGCATTTTTATTAATTTTACACAAACAAAACCCCTTTAAAAATTAAAAAAATAACCGATCGTTCAAAAAGCGAAGGATTTCCCGAAGGTCTAGGTGTTGCTGTAAATCCTCCAATTGCAGAAGACAAACTATTAATTGTTGACACATCAGAAGATGAATTACTTGGCTTTATCTTTTCTTGTTCAACGAGAATTGCTTTTTGGGGATCCAAACGACGTTCAGAAATACTCAAATGGCGAAAAGAACGATATCCCTGATTCGTTCTTAAATTAATAAAAATTTAAATTATTTTTAGAAAAAAATGCCTCAAACCTAGCCAAAGACGATTGATCAGTTTGATCAAAGGATTTAAAATTATTTGGAGATTTTTGATTTGTTGGGCTATTTAATGAATTTGTTAATGCTTGGGCATCTTTAAAAGCCTCAGATTCAGCATCTCTTTTTCGTTTTCTTTCCAAACAAACAGTAAAAGCACATCCAACTGCATGACTAAGACGCTCCCCCTTTAATAAATTTTAAATAAAAATATTTTTATAATCCATAGAAAAAAGGCAAAATCACTGGGGCAAAAACAATTAAGCAATAACCAAGTTTGGTAATTTTGAAGTTCGTACCCCCCCCCCCTCCTTTTTCTTTCTCAAGGTGTTAAAAATGGTCAGTTTTCTGAAGAAAAAAGAGAGAGGGGGGGTACGAACTTCAAAATTACCCCAAATTTTATTATACCAATGGTTAAATAACCAAATTCAATAGAATATCATTAAAAAACAATAAGGATATTTGAGTATATTATAACGATGAGGATATTTAGAAAAAAAATGAGGATATTAACTTAAGTAAATATTAGATTCAGAAACTTAAATTGCGAAATCCCCACATAATAATTATTATTATTTTTAAATACCGATTCTTTAGTTGCATGAAATCCATGACAAATCCACCGTCTAGTTGCCCCATCTCGACATATATAAGCGAATCCTTTATCATTATGACGGTCGGGAGAACAAAACTAAAATTAAATTAACAAAAATACCCCTTTCCATAAATTAAAAACAAACCGAAACTTTTTCAATTGTTTGATCAACAATTAACCCTCTATTATTTGTTTGATCAACTACTCTAATTCCATCTCCAGACACATAAAGTAGTGCTTTGACCGGTCTTTTACGGTTCTATAAAAATGAAAATTAATTAAATTAATAAAGCAAAATTAAGTATTAAAGTTAAAAAATTAAAATTTTAAAATGACATTTGGTCCCAGAAAAAATATTTTCCAAAAACCTAAAATTATATCCAACCACGACCTAGCACATAATTATATTCGTTATCAATTTTAAAAATTTTTTAAAAAACAAACTCTAAGATGCTGCAAAGCGCTCTCACACACAAGCATGCCCCGTGATTCAAACACTTCACAAGAGCCCAAATACTGTTTTTAAATAATTAAAAATATAATTTTAAAAATTTCAAAAAACTTTGACGGGAAAAGAACAAGCAGCAGAACGCACTGCAACTTCATCCGAATGACAATAACTTTTATTTGACGTTCCACCAACTCCGCTAGTTCCATTTCCACTTGGTTGGGGATTTGTTGAAGAGGATGGATGCCCTTCTGTTGCTGAGCTTGTTAGGGCTTGCCCGGCTTGTCCACCACCTCTTCGGAATGAACGACGAATTGAACGTCGTAGCCTGTCCATACTTCGGCTAAAAAAAGGCCTAGAAAACAAAAAAAATCTTAAAATTTTGTATTAAAATTCTATTAAAATAAAGGAAAATAATAAAGAGGCAAACCCAACCTATTGTTAATTATTCAGTTAAAGAAAATTGGAAATGCTAATTTTAGCTAGTACTCTATTGTCAAATGTCTGGGATGAAATCTCATTTTTTTAAAGCACTTTGACGTAATAATTAATTTTAAAATTCGGTTTTTGTAAAAAGTCCTACATTGTAAATGGTTTCAAACAAATTAAATTTCAATGAAATTTCCTTTTAAAATCTTTTGCAGATTTAATAGCTACAATTTGTAATAAATTTACAAGAGTTTTATTTACTTTTTTGTTCTCGCTTCCTCTCTTTCGAGATGTGTTAATCCAACCAAATTTCTGTCATTATTTGAAGGCCATTCAAGTTGGGTGTTTTGAGATAATCCTCTGCCCCTTCTATTATTGTCTTGTATCATTTCTTCGCGTTGTTGCCTTCCTTCGGCCGCCGACTTTTGTTTTTGTCGTTTACGGCGTCCTGATATTCTTGACCAACTACGAGCAACAAACCCTTCATTGCGAGGGGGAGAAGAAGGACCTGCAGATGTATTTGAGAGATGTTGCTGTTCTTTGAGAATTTCGTCATAATCTGTTGCCTTTCCTTTAAAAATTTAGATTAAGAGATTGCGTGTTAATTAAATATAAGCTTATTAATCCTTTCAATTATTTTAAAACAGGACTTCGATTCGTACTTACAAAATTGAAAATGTACTTATTTGTATGCATCTGTGCCTTAAATAGACTTTTTGGTTGAAGAAATTTACCCTTAAAACACTCAAAATTTCCGTTTACGGCACTAAAAAATTTTTCTTGTGGCGGGCTTATGTATATGGGAAAAATTTTTCCGTTATGTACTTATAAACTTTTTGTACATATTTCAACATAACATTTTCTCGATCGAAGCCCTGTTTTAAAATATTTTATTTACTCACTTCCTTTTTTACCCATTTCAAGTTTCTCTGTTGTTTTATACTTTTTGATGTTTTCTTTATTATTCCTTACTTTGTTCGGCCGCTGACTGGGCAATAACATGCATTTATAAGGAAATTGTTTTTACTAAAAAAATTAATTAATGACTTGTTTTATTTTAAATGAAAGTCAATATTTTTTAACTTTAGAATTATTAATTGAGGAAAATAATGTTATAAAAATAGAGAATATAATTATACAAAAATTTAATTAAGAAAACAAATGAAACAAATAATGATAAAAATTAATTTTTTAAATTTTTTGTTCTAATATTTAATGGACAGGAATGGGTAAAAATTAGAGAATTTTTGGTTCATTTTACAATTTTATTAGTCGAAATAAGATAAAAAATGTAAATAATGCCTAAAACTAAGATAGAAATTTTGGACAATAAAAGTTTTGTTTAAAATAGCGCCATCAAAGATAAGCAAAAAAGCAACGTGTGTTTAATTTTGTCTATTTAGGAGAAGGTACGACTGGCGCCAGTCAGCCGACCGTTTCAAAGAGACAGGAAATAATTTCTTTTGTTTGTCTTTCCATTTAGTAATTTTTATTTTATGTAAAAGGAATATTTTTGTTAAATTAATAATTTTTTAAGTTATTAAGGATAGCTCTATATCGAGTTATTCTTCAATCAATTAATAAAATATGAGAATATTTTCCATTTAAGGGAAATCTGGCAATTATATATGTAATTGAGAGGAAGGTTTTAAAGTAAGTTTTTAACACTGCGAAATAATTTGCACTAAAAATTGAAAAAGGTGGTGGTCGAATAAAAAAGATTAACCGAGACGGGATTTTAAAGCGAGGAGATTGCTGCACAAATAGAAAGTAGAAAATTGGTTGATGGAAAGGTGGCCTATGAAATTATATACAATGGGAACCATTTACTTGAGGGAAAGACGAAAAACCGCGACGAATGGAAAGTAAAGAGAAATTACGTGCGCGCGAGCACTCTTTCAACAAGAAAAGAATTTTATAAATATTTTATTTATCGAGAATGTTTTTTCTGATTAACACACGGCTATTTAATTGTGTTATTTTAGAGATATTTTTAGATAAATTATAAGGTAAAAATTTTTTTTATTTTTTAGTGGAAAATGTTAAAACATAATATGTATTAGTCTTACATTAAATTAAATTTTTATTAATTATTTTGGAGGTCAGTTTGGAATAAATACGAGGCAAAAAATATTCAATATATGAAGAGGATTCCATTAAATTTTTTTATTGTTATATATTTATATTGATTTGAGCGATATTTTTTAATCCGATTAGAAGGCTGCGAATTAATGAAAAGTTTATTTAGTAATCGTAAAAATACAGTGCAGAATTTATCCAGCAAAATTATATTAATTTTTAGCAATGATTTCACTCATTCACAACAGAACACTATTCCCATATGATAATTAATATACCGTATTTCCTAAAATAGTACTCCCCCCTGAATTAGCACTCCCCCCTTAAATAATACTCCCCTTTGGAGGAGGGTTGAAAAATAGTACTCCCCCCTGAATTAGTACTCCCCCTAAAATAGTACTCCCCCCTAAAATATTTTTCCCCTATATTTGAAAAAATTATAAAAGACTCATTAAATTATTTCATTTACTCTAATTATGGTTGTCGGTTTCAATTAATTCTTTGTTAACCGAAACCGAACCGATAAACCGAAAACCCGAACCGAAACTTCCTGTTAACCGAAATCGAACCGTAAATTTGTTGAGGATTAAGGAGATAGGTATATTGTGATTAAGTGGCTGGATAAAAGTGGATTTGAGGGATATAAGTATATTGATATCGGGTGATAAAAGGGGTTCTGAATTGATCAGGCGAGTTAAAAGATATCATTGGATTAAAGGCGGATAAAGGAATTTGAGGGAATAATGACGGATGAGTCATATTAGTAGTTTTTTGTTGATTAAGCGTGATTAAGAGATAAAATTGAATCATGAATCCTCCTCAACCCAACGATTTTATTTCGATACCTCTAATTCAAGAATTTTCAGATATCCAAATCACTGATCTCCAACATACATAATTTGATCCCTTGATATTACGCCAAATATGGATATCATAAGATTCGAAGGGATATCGAAAGAACAAAAGTGATGTATCAATTTTCGATATCCACCTTAGTCCAAAGCATGCTTCACTCTTAATTGTTTAAATCCCCTTATAGCTTAAATCCCCACTCCAAATCCACTGATATACTTCTTGATATCCCTCAATAATCCTTATTTTAAGTCACTTGTGTTTAAATGTCCTGCCATGTGCTCAATTTTATAATAATTTGGATATTTTTTGCGAATTATAAAGGAATTTTTTTGAAAATCTATGTACGGATCCAGCATTTTTCAAATTAAGAAATCTAATTGATTTAGACATTTAGAATTTTGAAATAAATTTTCCCAAGATAAATCAGTGAGGAAGGTTGAAAAATAGTACTCCCCCCTGAATTAGCACTCCCCCCTTAAATAGTACTCCCCTTTGGAGGAGGGTTGAAAAATAGTACTCCCGGGAGTACTATTTTAGGAAATACGGTAATTAACATTTAGAGTTTTGTGGTAAAAATATTTTATTTATTTTAAAATTTTTACAATTATAAATGATATTTAATATAGGCTTAAAAAAGTCCTTTTTAAATTTATTTTTATTATAAAACTCGCGAGAAATCAGGAAAACCCAAAACAGCAGCAGTTGGACTTCCAGCTTCTTGCCGCAGTAAATCAGGTCTACAAGATTCTAATTTACTCATTCTTTCCAAATGTGGTTCCACAACTGTCCATATTTTATTTGAACGAACTAATGAAATGACTGATTGAATTTCTGGTTGCATATACCGATCATCATTTAATGGACTATAAATATATTAAGAAAGTTGGGAAATAATATTAAGTTATTCTAAATAACTACTAAAAAGTCAACTAATTAAATAATTCCATTTAGATAGATCTTAAAAAGCATACGGTGCAACACTCCGAACCAACTCATAAACCTTTTGAAGAGTTTCTGTACTCTTTAAAGGTTTTAGAAATTCTATTCCCTAAAAATAAAAATATATTGCTTATTAAAAATATTTTTGCAAGCCTGGCAAGCAGCCAATAGTTCCATGGCCAAAACTTTAAATAACAAATGTAAATAAAAATAAAATAATTTTTACATATGTACCTGCCTCTGTATGTTCAACAACTTTCAATGCTTTTCTAGCCGAGAAGCCTCCCATGGATACATGATCTTCTTGATTACAACTAGTTGGAATAGAATCAGCAGAAGATGGATGGCAAAGAACTTTATTTTCAGAAACTAATGATGCAGCACAAAGTTGGACTGTCATAAAACCAGAATTAAGACCTCCATTTTGTGTGAGAAATGTTGGAAGGCCGCTAAGTTCGTGATTAACCTTTTTGTGAAATAAAAGGTTATTTTATTTTTTAATTAAAAATTAACAAGTCTCTCTAATCTTCTTTCACTCATTTGTGCCAATTCATGAACAGCAATTGCTAAATAATCGAGCGCCTTTTAAAAATATCTCTTTCCAAATATTTTTATTCTAAATTACCTTTGCCGGATATTCTCCATGAAAATTTCCTTAAAATAATTTTATTAAATTCCTTTACCATCCTTCACAAAATTCCTATAAAAATCTAACCTCCAGAAATAATTTCCTCAACATCAGAAAAGATTAAAGGATTATCAGTTGCTGAATTAATTTCTATATTTAATAATTCCTTAACAAATTCAATTGTATCGTGGGTAACTCCATGAACTTGTGGAACACATCTAAGAGTGTATGCATCCTGAACTTTACCACAATGCCGGTGAGATTCTTTTAAAGAATTTGTTTAAATTATCCATTTAATTAAATACCAGCAATTTCCGACCTATTTAAGTCAGAATGAAGTAAAGCTCGTAATCTTCCAGCAACAAGGTTTTGACCTTTGTGAGGCCTAACTTTATGGACTTCTATAAGAATATTTATCAAAATATGTATTTATTAACTAACTAGCATCAAAAGCTCTAGTTGTCCCTTTAAGAACATCTAAAGTTAATGCAGCAATTACATCCGCTTGTCTAGCTAAATTCTCTGCACGAACAACAGCTATAAATTTATCCTTTAATTATCAAATTTGTTTTGTATTAGACCAAGTGATCCGATTGATGAGACTAATTGTGTGCCATTTATTAAAGCTAACCCTTCTTTGTAGCTCAATTCAATAGGTCGAAGACCATTATGTTTAAGAACATCACAAGCAGGTGCCCAGCCCGTTGAGGGTGACCACATTTGGCCTTCACCAAGAAGTCCTAAAGCTAAATGTGCAAGTGGGCAAAGATCTCCACTGCAACCAACAGTTCCCTGTTCTGGAACATAAGAGACACAATATGCTGGAATTAAGAAGAGAAAAAATAGCAGAAAATTTCGGAAATTATTATCTACCATTAAAAGCATCAATCAATTTATCTAAATTCTCAAGAGAAATTCCGCTATGACCTTTAGCTAAAACGTTAATCCGAAGTGCTAACAACATTCTTGCTTTTGCAGGTTCCAAAGGCTTTCCATAACCAGTAGCATGCGAACGAATTAAATTTAACTGGAGTTGCCTTAAATATTTTTTTAAATTATAACAGAAATACCGTATTTACTCAAATAATTACCCTGGGTAATTATTGTTTCGATCTCTCGCTGGAGGGGGTAATTATTAGGGAGGGGGTAATTATTTGAGAGAGGGTAATTATTTGAGTAAATACGGTATATGGAAATAAGGTTCATTTTAATTACGCACATGTTAATCTGCATTCAGTTTTTTATTTAAAAAGATTAATTAAATGAATCGGACTTAATAAGTTCTTTAGAGTTCAAGACTCAAGTGGACTCTACTGACACATAACTAAGTGTCAACTGTATTGACATGAGTTATGTAACATACTCTGTGTTCTCTAACATTAATATTTTTTCTTAAGAAGTTATTAATTTAATTTTTCTTTTTATGTAATCCTAAGGTAAACACATTATGAATTTATAGATAATAAATTCAGACTTAATGTGTGCGTAATCAAAAAGAATAATAAATGCCTTAAATCATCTGAAGGTATTTCGACGTTAGCAAAAGTCCCAAAACCAGTTGTTATTCCATATATTACTAAAATTTAAGTAAGAAAATAAATAATTAATAAAAAAAAGTATTTAAATATTGGCAAATAAAAAGACTTTTGTGTTCAGCTGCAACTTTCTCAAGGAATTTTCTTGCATCCAAAATCCGTTGTCTAGCATCATCCTTTAACTAAATATTGAAATAATTTACTAAATCTAGACATATATTTATTAGGCCAAATTAATTAAAAAATATTTATTTATGAAAATCAAAAACCTTTATTTGACAATTTATATCCGAAGTATTAACCAAATCCTCTACAGCTAAACTATAACCATCAAGAAGGAGTAAATGCTTATTATTGTTAATTTCCTCATTTTTTAAAGTTTTAACACAAATTTGGTCAACTTCAATATTTATTTGGTCATCAATTGAATTAACAGAGTTTTCATTGTTAATTTGAAAATTTTGATGTTTATTTAAGTCAAGTTTGTATTGGTTTTCAATTTTATCGTTGTCTGATAACAATTCCATTTTTATCTTTTTAAATTGTAAAATTATTTTTAAATAATTGTTAATCTTTATTTAAAATAATAATTATTAAATTAAAATTAAACTTCATTGGAACTCACGTGTAATATATTTTTTAGCTAAATATTAAATTAACAAAAATAATATCATTTATTATCTATTGTCAATTAAATACTTATGATTTTGGTTAGGAATTTTGTGATTGAAATTAAAGTGCGTGATTGTATGGACTTTGAAATTAATAAATTTATTTAATTCACGTGTTAATTCATGTCAGCTTTTTATATTTTATTTTAGACATCACGTGACTGTATTTGGATTAATGATAACAAAATAATATTTTTATTTAATTTTTATATGGAAATAAAAAATATATGTATACTAATGTACACATCAAGGTTATTTTTTGATAAAATTATTAAATTTATATTACGCCCTTTTAATCACGTTTTTATCTCAAGAAATTAAAAAAGCAAATGGTGCTATAACGTGAACATTCAAAAAGGAATTAAAAAAATTTTTTTTGCAAATATTATTAATTTTAGTATTAAATAAATTTTTTAGAAAATTAAGCACTTCAGAAAAGCTCACTTAATTTTTAAATCGGATGATTTTGGGTTTAAATGAAATAATTTTTTAGTTTAAATTTACATACATCTCAACGTGCAAGTTAAGTACAAAAAGTTAACTGAAATTTTATTTAAAAAATAATAAAATAAAAACTAAATTAAAAGAAACAATTTTATATACAAAATGAGATCATCAAAACAATTTTTTAAATTAATATAAAATTCCTTAAGAAAATAAACAATTTTCTCTTTCATTCTTTTTCCAATTAATTTTTTCTCCTTTCACTTCTCCACATTCAATACTTCCATAATCAGTTAAAGACGGAGTTCGAGAATCTGCTAAATTTCTAAATATTTCGTCTATTGGTTTGCTTTTAGTTTCTGGTAGCCATAAAAATAATAAAAAAATAATTAATAAACTAAAGGCCAATAAAGGCAATAAAAATAATGATCCAAAATTTTTTGTTGCAGAAGGATAGGCGAGAACTAGGCAAAGAATTATTAACATTGCCGGAAATTGTGTCAACTAAAAAATTAAAAATTTATTTTAAAATTTATTTAAAATATAATTAGAAAAAATAATTATTTTTTGTTTTAAAAATCAGAATAATGTGAAATTTATTGAAGAAACATAAAATGAGAGGATGTTAAATTTACTAAAGAGAAGGTTAAATTTATAAAAAATTTACCTGTGTAGCTTTTGCCCTCGATTGATATGGAAATATTTCACTGATTAACATTGGATTTATGTTATAAATTCCAAGATTAACGCTTGCTTGACCAAAAGAACAGCCAATTAAAGCAATCCCGGCAACTATCCAACCACTTCCAAAATTATCAAAAATAAATTGGGCAAAGGCAATAAATGCTAATTCAATCGAAGAAAGTAAAGCAATTGTTAGGAATAAAGGACGACGGCCTTTAGATTCAACAAGAATTGGGGCTAGAACACTAAATGGAGTGCCTAGAGCGGTGATTACCTTAAATAATATGTATTTATTTTTAATAGGGAAATTTATATTTTAATAAGGTATTGCTGAAGCTTAGTACTTTGGAAGCAATTTTAAAGGAAGAAGAGTAAATTGGCTTAAAACTTTCTTTAAATGTTCCTTAGTTTTGATTTTATACATAGTAATCCATTAAATATTTATCTAAATAAAAAATTTTTTTACAATTGTGGAGGCCATCGCTGCTGACTGATTTAATCCAAAATTTATTAACATAGATTCCAAATATTGGCCTTTAAGATTAGCAAAAGAAAAAGCGGGAACAAAAGCAACTAATAATGTTATTGCTGTAGCCCATCTACATACATATTTAATTATTTTTAATTATAAACATTTTTTTTATTTTTAACCTTAAACGTCGACTAATCCAAAAATCACTTAAAGAAACATTTTTTCTATGTACAACTAATTGTTCAGAATTAAATTCATCAAAAATTTGTGCTGAATAATTAATTATTTAAAAAATAATTATTTTTTATTTACCAATATCCGCATTTTTTCCATGATAAAAATGGATAGAAATTTTTGCTTCTAATTTATTTTCTCCCCCAATAAATAAATGTTTGGGCGATTCGGGAAAATAAATTCCAGCTAAAAATATATGGCACATTGCAAATAATAAACAAATTGCTGGTATTAACCACCAATCTCTGTCATTTCCCCAAATATCAGGCATACAAAGAGGTGAAAGTAACTAACGATATTTTGAATACTAACGATATTTTTAATCTCATTTTTACCAATAAAATTAATCCTCCCCCGGACCCGATAATTGTAACTGCCCATCCCCTACATTCTGTTGGTGCACATTCAGCAATATAAATAAAAAGAACATTTTTTAATGTCTGGACCATTCCAGCAAGAAAATGACCGATTAAAAAAAGTTCGGGTTTATCAAGCCATTTAGCAGATAACATAGCTAAAGAGGAGAGAATTCCAATAAAAGAACTTAAAAAAATATTTTTCAAATTAATATTTTTAAATAAACTACCGAAGGTAAACAGATGTGCCTTTCCTTCCCAATCTTTCCATACAAATTGCCATTATCGCCCCGGCAATAAAAACACCTCCAAAGAAGCTGGAAGCAATTATTGAATAAATAAATTCAAATCTTTGAGGAAAAAATATTTTCTATATCAAAAAATAATTCTTATAAATACATTTCACTATTAGGCCCAATTCCAAAACGTTGCTGCAATGAACGTCCAAAGAATGTTCGTAAAGGAACTGCCATATAATTAATTACACTAGCCTGAATATCTCCAAAAGCAGAAAAAATGGCATGGAAAAAAACAACACTTAATAGACGAGGATTGTGATACATTTTTTAAAAAAATATTTTATAATTATCTAGAGAAAAATATTATTTTATTTAAATTAAATTAAACAAAAATTAAAAATAATTTTTCTTTAAACTATTTATAGGGTAACAAAATATACTTAATAAAAATCCTGATAATTTAATTGTATTTATACATTTATTAATTTTTAATTAAAATAGAAAAACAACAACAAAAAAATAAACAAAAAAGTAATTAAAATGAAAATATATTTGCAAAAGTCAGCTGTAATTGTTGCTTAAACAGCATCTTTCATATCTTTTGTTTTATAAAGTAAAACTATTAAAAATTAGAAAATAATCAAAAAAATTTAATGTTTAAATAAAAACAATTTATAATTAAATAAATAGATATGGAAAAATCATTAATAATTTAAATATTGTTAATTAGGATTTAATTTAAAAATTATAATAAAAAATATTCAATTTAAAAATAAGTTTAAATTAATTATATGTATGTATTTTCATTTTCTTTACAATTTTATTTTTTTAATAAAATAAAATTACAACAAATTTTTAGATTAGGGAGTTTTTATCTAAAATTAAAACAAAAATTAATTTTGTTTGCAAACATATTCTGGATAATATAAAAATTAATTTTAAACAAAAATGACCATCCAAGGAAAGTTAATATTTTAATAATTTCGTCTTGTCCTTTAAAAAAGAATTATGGCACTTTAAATATTATTTAGACAACCAATTTATATATTTATTTATTTCCTCGCTAGGCTGCCACCTTTTCCCTTCTTTACAATTTCTTTTCTTCTTATCACCTTATCATCTTTTAATAATAACCACTACACTTCCCTCATTTACAGCCCTGTCCTGGACATCTTTTAATTTTCCTTGACTTTTACTTGTATTGCAAAGAACATCTTACTTTTATATGTAAAACTCTTTAAAAACACATAAATTCAAATATAAATCAAATTAATTAGTCAAGACAAAATAAAAAAGACAAAATTTGCAAAAAATTAGAAGTGGTCCAAAAATGAACTGAAACTACATATACATATTTGTAATAATAAAAAAGTAAACTGGAAATGTTTTTTTAATCCCTGTGATATTGAAAAATAAATTTCGTAAAGAAAACTTTTTTAATTATTTCTAAATCAAAAATATATAGGTAGATAGTACAGTCAGCACTTCGTGTAGTAAATACCACAGGCCAAAAACGACTGTATCTTTTAGGATACTACATTCAACATCTCAATAATATTTAACACCTTTTGATTCTTTTAACATAACACTTTTGCTTATATCTATCATTAACAATAAGGTTTATAAAATTTTTCTGAATTTAAAAGAAATTTAAATTTTTGAAAAATGAAATTTAATTTTTACAAGGTTTCTCATCGCGACTGCTTTTATCAGGCTCTCTACTGTAATATTACGCCAGGAAAAATAAAGGCCAAAATATTTTGAACTCAAAATTTACTTATTAACTATCTTACAAAAACAAAGAAAACAATGTGGAAAATATACATACATTTACATACATAAATTACAATAAAGAAATATGTACATACAAACATTTTACTGGGATATAATGGCTAACAATATCTTCCATCATTCACATATTCATCTAATTTTCTTTTTCTTTGTCGCTGGCATCTTTGTTAGAATCCTTGTTTGAGTTGTCCTTGTCCGTAGTCTCCGTTTCCTTCTGTTCTTCGGTTGACAAATCAGTGCCACTTTTGGTCGCTTCCGTACTTCTTTCAGTCGTTTGAGCTGTTTCTTTACTCTCCTGAGTCTTCTTCGTTTTCTCCTCCTCCTCTTTTGGAGTTGACACAGGTGTTGCTGGAGAATCCTTAGAAGTCTCTGGTTTCGAAGGCTCTGTCTTTGAAGTCGCAGACTTTGGGGTCTCCACTTTACTCGTTGCTTTTGATGACTCTTCTTTTGTAACCATCGTTTTTGCATCCGTTGGTGCCTTAGTAGGCTTCTCTTCCTTTGAAGCAGGTTCTGCAGGAGGAGCAGCTTCTTTCTGAGGCACCGGAGCTTTGGCAGTCTTTGGTGCAGATTTGACGAGAGACTTTGTCATACTCTGCATCGCGTATGCGGTTTTTGCATTGTTGTCATCATTTGGAGTATTAGTAGAGGCCGAAAGTGTACAAACTGAAAAATTAAAGAAATATGGGTAGGTATCTAGCCTAGCTAGAAAAAATTAAATTCAACTCACCAACTGTTGAGTTATCAGTCTTCAGTATTGGGAAGATAGGGAACCCATCAGCAGATGTTGCGACTCCAGCATCTTTTTTGCTCGAAAGGTTGTCTTCTAAAAATTGAATGAAAATTAACTGTTTAAAAGCTCAGCAATTGAAAACTCACTTTTCTTCGGTTTGCCTTTCTGAGACCCCTTCTTAGAATCATCTAAGGCTGTACGCGTACTTGACGATGGGCCCACTTGGGATTTACTATTAGCGTCCGTCTTTGCCTTTTTTCGGCAACAAGTAAATAAGCCCAGCAGCGTTCCGCAGATCAAGAATGGCCAAAGCAATTGAAACGCCAGAAGTGCTGTAGTCGTCGTAGCGGCTGACACTAAAATAAAAGAAGGAAAAATTTTAAACAAAAGGATTGATAAACTGAGAGAAACTTACTTTAATGAAGAAAGAAATATGTAGACGTGGACTAAGTTGAAGCAGGAGGACGTAGAGTTGTGTTGATAATTAAGCTCAAAATCAAGTTGCTTTTATAGGGATAGTGCGAAGAATTAATTTGGGGGCTATTGGTTTAGAGTGTCAGGGTGGCCCTTTCCAAATCACCAAAAGGAGGCATGGGCTCTAAAAACGGGTTAAAAAGGGGGCAATGTCGAGAAATGAGAAAAAGGGGCGAGAAGGTCAAAGAGGGGTAAATGCCTCCCAAATGAGGCAAAAGGGCCACCCTGATAGCAACGCAACAGATCAGCCTGGCAATAAATAAATAAGATAAACTGAATCGTCACAAGTTGCCGTACTCCCAAACTACTTTGTAACGGCATACTCTGAATAGTCCCTTCCCTGAAATGATACTCTGAAACGTCCCTTTTGTAAATTTCGGGTCCGCAAATTTTTTTGTCCGCAAATTTTAATCCGCAAAAGCTGTTAAAAAAAATTTTTTTTCGCTAATTTTAGTCTTTTCACAATGACATCATTTTTTGGAGCAGCTCCTTCTCAACCATTAGTACCATCCAATCAACAAGTCATTGTTCAACAACAACAATCTGTTCAGAGTTTACAAGATATATTAAATGTATATTTTTAATTTAAATTTATTTCTATGTAGCAAATATATTTAGAGTGCAACTGCTTTGACTGCTTCGGTTTCTGGTCCAGAACTTTTTGGCGATGATTGTGACAGAGTTGTTGCTCAATTAAATCAACTACTTGCTTCTCTTGGAGTTGGGCAAGGATATTATTCTGTTGGACAACAACCATTTGTTTACACCCCAAATAATATTTTTTATCGTCTAAAAGCTGTTGGGTATAATCGTTTAAGTAAACATAAAAATGCACATGGACTGGTTTCTTTGATTTTGGCAAGTTCTCCTTCAAATTTTAAAACGGATCAAGGCCAAATGAAGGTTTGGTATTTTTTGATATTTTTCTCTAAATTATATTTTTTGTAGATTGTTCACGATTTGGGTGCTATTTTGAGGGCATCTAAACAACCAGCTCCTATGCTTGGGTTAATTCAACAGCAGCAGCAACCTGCGAAACCTTCACTGCGTGTTGAACTTAAGTCAATTAATGCTCTTGATGAACAAAACACTGAGGTTTGTGATTAGTTTTTAAATTTAATATTATTTTCCTCGTGAAAATAAATTTTTTTTAAACTTTTAGGTGGTTATCCTTGCTAAAGAATCGGGTCGAATTATTCCTGCTCTTGATCTTTATAATGAATTGATGCAAAAGGCAAATGAACTTCAACAGCAATTGCTATGTAAGAAAATTGCACCCAGAGTTGAGATTGATCCTGCTAACCTAGAAAATTATTTGCGTCGTCCTCCACCCGGATATGAAGAAATTTGGTTGCAGGCCATTCGTGAAAATCCAGATCCTGCCAATTTAATTCCATATCCAATACAGGTTTCCTTTTTATTTCAGAAAAATTTAAATATATTTATTAGGGTTTTCGTGAATTATCTCAACGTAAAAAAATGCAGACTTCTCTAGTTCAGTCACTTCATGCAGAAGTAGGTCAGTTTTTGATTTGTAATTTTTTGTTATAATTTTAAATATTTTAAGATGATAATTTTAATCGATTAAATGGATTTCATCGAAATATTATTGAAGCAAAAAATAAATATATTCAAATTATTCAAAAACAAAAATCTCTTTCAAATCGTCTTCTTCAAGTACTTGTTATGCAAGCAAACAATCAACGACATGGACAAATTGTGGATGAAAAGGAAGAACAATTACAGTCACGTCTTGAGAGAATGAATTTTTTGTTAAATGGACCAGAAAAGTTAAAGGTAAAAAATGAAAATGTTTGTTGATTAATTTACTTTTTTATATTTTTATGAGTTTAAATGAACTATTAGGTTGATGTGAGTTGAATTATCTTTACTAAAATCAGGCCCGTAGCTGTGGGGAAATGATTCCACCCCCTCTGCCTCCCTGAAATTTTTCCTGGCTACAGGCCTGACAAAAATCATTATATAATTTTTTAAATTATTAAAAATTGGTATACGGATAGAGAAAATGAAATTTTTTGATAATAATTCAAGAGGAATCAGACTAAATTCATTGTTATTCAAAAAACATAAATAGGAAATCTCAAATTACACACAAAATTAATTATTAGAAATTGATTGAATTCTTCAATTTTCTAAATAAAAGTTTCTTTTTAAGGAGCAAGTAACAACAATTTTTGAAACAATACGAAGAGATAGTTCAAAATTGGAACAATCAGCAAAAGAAAATGTTCAAACTGGCCTAAATATTTCCCAAAAAGAAATGGCCGAGGTACGCCGTTGTCTTTTTACACGTCAGCAATTAGTGGAAAATTTGGTTTCGATTGTTAAACAAAGTGTGGATGTTCTTAAAGTTGTAGAGGAAGCAAAGAGTGGAAGTTTAAAATCTATTTAATTTATTTAAATTATGACAATTATTTGTTTGGATTATTTTTTCTATTTATTTATAAATTAAAATCTTTTAAATTCTGATTACTTTTTTTATAAATCAATTGTTAATTCAATATATTTAATATTTTAAATCCGATTGAAAGTTGAAAGGGAGAAAAATTGGTCCAGTTGAATAAATAAAAATTAAATTTCCATGACTCAATTGACAGGAAAAGAGTTACCACCCGCGTGTCTTTTTTCCATTCAATATTGAAACATTTCAGTGAAGGAAAAACGTGAATAAAAAACGTTTTTTATGAAGGAAATATTTCTAAAATAAAGGTTTTTATTAAAAGGTGATTATGTTTAGACTTAGGCCAGATGTTTGTAGAGCAATTTTGGCTACTTCTATTATTTGGATACTTGTTGATATAATTATTCTTTTTTATTATCTTGATAGAAGCCTTATTGGTTCGCAATCAGAAAGGTTATTAAAAATTTATTTGAATAATTTTTTTAAATTTTTTTTTGAAAATTTAAGGACGATGATGCCTCAAAAAGAACAAATTTCTGATGATGTTAAATCCAATGAAGAGAAAAAAATATTAAGAAGACCGAAAAATAGAGAAATTGCCCTTCCAGAACAACCAAAAGAAGAGGACAAAGAATTGGAATTGTTACTTTCCCAATTAAATTTTGACCCGAATGGGCCAGGAGAAGGTGGAAAAGGGGTTGAAATTGCTAAAGAAAAGGAAGAAGAGAAAAAAGAAAAGTTCAAACAAAATCAATTTAACCTTATGGCATCTGATCAAATTAGCGTTAACAGAACAATACCTGATTATAGAACTGAAAAGTTTGTTTTTTTTTATTTTAATTTAATTTTTTTTTAAAAATTAGATGTAAAAGTCAACCTGTCCCTGAAAATTTACCAACAGTTTCAATTATTATTGTTTTTCATAACGAAGCTTGGAGTACTTTATTACGAACTCTTCACTCTGTTGTTAATCGAACGCCGCTCAAACTTTTAAAAGAAATTATTTTAATTGATGATAAAAGTGAAAGAAATTATTTAAAGAAGCCTTTGAAAAGATATATTAGAAGATTCACGATTCCTGTGCATTTGGTTAGTTTAAGAAAAAATTTTAAATATTTAAAGGATTTACTAAAACTTTCAATTTTTGGGTTTTATTTAAAAATTCTTTTTAAAGATGCACTTACCTGAACGTTCTGGCCTAATTAGAGCACGTTTAGCCGGTTCTGCTATGGCAAAGGGAGATATTTTGCTCTTTTTGGATGCCCATGTTGAAGTGAGTATTGGCTGGCTAGAACCTTTAATTATTAGAGTAGCGGAGGATCGTACTCGGGTTGTTGCACCAATAATTGATGTAATTTCTGATGATACTTTTGAATATGTTACAGCTTCTGATACAACTTGGGGAGGATTTAATTGGCATTTAAACTTTAGGTTTTTTGAAAAATATTTTTTAATTAAAATTTCTTTTAAAATTTTGGGTGGTATCCTGTACCTGAGAGGGAAATGAAGCGCCGAAATTGGGACAGATCTTTGCCGATTCAGTGAGGAAATTGTTTAAATTTATTCAAAAATATTTTTAAAGAACGCCGACAATTGCTGGTGGTCTCTTTGCCATTGATAAAAAATATTTTTATGAGATTGGCTCTTATGACAAAGGAATGCATGTTTGGGGTGGAGAGAATTTGGAAATTTCATTTCGAGTATTTTTCCCAATTAATTTTTAGTTTCTTATGGTAACTTCAGGTTTGGATGTGTGGAGGATCTTTGGAAATTCATCCATGTTCTCGAGTTGGGCACGGTGAATATAAAAACTGTCTACCAAATTATAGAACTATTTATTAAATGCTTATCCAAATTTCTTATTTTTTTCTTTTAAAAATTATTTTATTCTTTCCAGTTTTTCGCAAACAAACTCCTTACACTTTCCCTGGCGGAACTGCAACAATTATACATCACAATGCTAGGAGAACAGCTGAAGTATGGATGGACGATTATAAGCAATTCTTTTATGCAACAGTTACAGGTTTAATTAAAATATATTTCTTTTTAATTTTTATTTTCTAGCGGCTCGCCATGTTGACGTTGGCGACGTTACTGAACGTCAAAGATTGCGTGAACGACTGAAATGTAAATCTTTTAAATGGTATCTAGAAAATATTTACCCAGAATCGCCTTTGCCTGCAAATTATTTGTCTATTGGAGAGGTTATTTTTTAATTTAAAGATTTTTATAAGATATTTTTCATTAAACAGATAAAAAATCCTAGCACTAAATTATGTATTGATACAATGGGAAAAAGTGGAGGACAACCACCTGGGGTGACTGCATGTCATGGACAGGGAGGGAATCAAGTAAATAATTAAAAAAAATATTTTTTTAAATTAATTTTTAAAAGGCTTGGAGTTTGACTGGAGATGGTGAAATTCGAACTGATGAAACCTGTTTAGCTGGAAAAGATGATAATTCACTTAATATGGAAAAATGTTCTACAAACCATCCAAATGCAAAACAACAATTTAGCTACATTCCAATAGTAAATTTTTAAAAAATATAATTTTATTCTAATTGATTCCAAGGGCGTATCCAGGAGGGCTCAATGTTAGTCCACCGAAACCGACCCACTGGATACGCCTTTAATTCTTGCCAGCCGATTAATAACAATAAAGATTTACTAACTGATTATTGGAAGAGTATACCCTTAGCTGAAGCTCCCCAATTAAGTAATTTTTGGTACCAAAAATTAAAATTAGGAGTAGTTCTTTTATCTCTTTTAACTTCTCAGATAAGTGATCAAAATATTTGATGTACTATTTTTAAATTACCAAAATATTTTTCTTTCAATTTTTAGACTAAACAAATTGTTCATATCAAAAGCCAGCTTTGCTTACTTCTAAAAACACCAGCGATGCAATTAACCCTAGCAGATTGTAATTCAATAAGTGAAGAGAATAAATGGGAGCTTGGCCATTTTAAACATATTAGTTAAAATGATGAAAAAAGGGCTTTTCTTGCTTTGAAAAAACATTCCACCACCAAAATCAAATTAATTTTTTCTACTACTTTTTTTGCATAATATATATTTTATTTTTTTGTATTTAAAGACAAAACATGCAAATATTTTCTTTTCTTTGCTCTTATATTTTTTAAATGTTATCATTTAAATCACTTCAATTAAACAGCTTAATATTTTCCTTTAATATTGTAAAACATCTTTTTAAAAATCCTTCTGTGATCACTTAAAATCGATCAAAACAGCTCCTATTTTGATTATTATTATTTACTGCTGATTTTTATATATTATTTGTTTTAATAAATAACCTCTATTGAATAAATAATAAATGGAATTATTTTTAATTAAATTTACACTCTTATCTTTCTATTGCTAATTACTAAGCTTTTCAATAAAATTTCGATCCTGAACGATGAAATGAATTGTAGGGACTTGCATATTTTATAGTTTTTCTCGATTCTATTCTCAATATTTGGTTAAATTAAAATAAAACTCCAACGAAAAAAATATTTTAATTGTATTTCTAGAAAATTCTAAGTACAATTTCAAGTTTGCCCAATTGGTTGAGATTGATGTTTATCAATTACTTCCGCTTTAATTTTAGCAGCAATTCTCCTCCTTTCTTCTAATTCACTTGACTCGTTTTGTGCCATTAATCCCCGAGCCGCTTTTGCTGTTTTAGGTCTAGAATTGTCATTGGTTGCCTTTAAAGCAATTTTAAGAAGATCTAAAATTATTCAGTAATTTACCAAAAGTTGTTTTTGCCTTTCCATACTTTTTTTCTGTAATAATTTGTCTCTCTGTTCCCGAAGATAACGCATTCTTGATTTTATATTTTCATCGGGAATATCATCACGTTTTTTAAGTAAAGACTGAAAATACGAGAGTACCGTAAATGCTGAAATAATGTCCCTTTCTCAAATAATTACCCCCGTCCTATTAATTACTCCCTACAGCCAAAGATCCAAAAAATAATTACCCCCCTTAAAAATAGTTATAATTAGTCTTTCTGAAAAAAAAGTTCAAATAATTACCCTCTCCCTTTTAATCACCTCCTCCAGCGAGCGGTTGAAACAATAATTACCCTGGGTAATTATTTTAGCAAATACGGTATATTTAGTTATTCTTAAAATTTTTATCAATTAAAATTTCCCTCACCCTATAAGCCAAATCACTCTTTTTATTTGAGTCCCCATTTTTTGACTTGTCTTTTCCACGTGGTGGCTGATGTACTTGACCTAAGGAACGGCGTTTTTTATTTTCACTTTCGAAAGAATTTTTGACGTTATTTTCGTTGTTTTTGCTAGGTTTATCATTTTCACTTTTATCAGTTTCGTCATTCCCTTTTATCTCTTGTTTATTCGAGACAGAACGTACTACTCGCGTTTTTTCTACTTTCGACGGCAACTAAAAAATATTTTTTGATATTTTTAAAAACTACTAACACTCATTTGAGAAGATCTTCCACTCTTAGAATCAGGGCTTCTCATAGCAGAATCTGCTGACTGGGAAGTTCCTGGTTTCTCTTTATTAGGGGAAATTCCTCTTTGATGCTCCAGCTCTTTAATCTCTTCATTTATTATAATCTCATTATCACTACAATTCTTTATATTGTCCTCATTTATTGTAGGAATACTAGTATTTTGAAACATAACGCTCGGAGGCAAATTCAATTTAAAATCTTTCGTAGTTTCTTCAGTTTTAGTATAAATTGAGAGATTGGAGAACTTTAAAATAAATAATAAACTACTTAAGATATTTTTATTTTTCTAAATATTTGCCTTTTCATTAAGAGCTTTTTCAAGTAGTAATTGTTCCTTTCTTTTCATCTCTTCGAGATTTGTCTTCTCTGCTAAACTTTCGCGTAAAGCCCTTTCCATTTGCCCTTCAGAATCGGCTCTCATTCGTTGATCATATTCCCATTCTTCTTTACTTTGCCTTAAAACAGCAAGTAAAATAAGCTTTTCACTTTCATCTTGTTCTTCAGCATCCAATGCTTCCCATAATTTGGCATCTTCTTCTCCCAATTTAAGTGAACTTGGCAACAACCCTTTCATATGTTGCTGAATTTTTTTTTTGATTATTTTATTTTTGACAATTCATTAAAAACCTCAATCATTTTTAATGCCTGTAATTGTAATTCAATATTTTTTCTCATCATCATTGGGACGAAAACATCAAAATGCTCTGAAGCCACAATTGGTTCTAACAACATCTAATATATTTTTTTAAAAAATACTCCAAATATCTATTTACTTTATCTTTGTTGGACATTTGTTGAAATTTTTCTCTATGAGCTATTTTCAGTGTTTCCATTACCCCTTCTCTGTTTTGGTTGCTATCTGCACAATATGCTTTTATCAAATCGGAAATCATTTTTGCAAATTCACTATGAACTGCTTGAAAATTCTCGATAGTGTTTGGAGAAGAACCTAAATCGGGCTCTCTTTCAAAGACTAAAATAATTTTTAAAAAACAATTTATAACCAAAATATTTACCAATAGAACGTTGCTCAATGAACTGGCTAACTGGAATTTGCCATAAATCGCTTCGCAAAAATTCCATAAAAGAATCAAATAATTTATTTTGATCTTTTTCACTCATTTCTTTTTTATTTAAAATTTATTTAAAATTTATTAAAAAATAACCAGAAAAACAAATATTTTTAATTGTTTTTCACTTAAATATTAAACCTACAAATATATTTTCGTGGTGGTATTGCTTATAATAATTTGTTGTCATGGAAATTTAACAAAAGCCAAATAAAAAGTACAGCAAATGGTAATCCTTATATAATGAACGTTTACTTAAAAATATATAAAAAAATATGTAAATGATCAGGAAATACGTATATATTATTCGTGAAAATATTTTTAAATAAATTTTTAAAAGAATTTATAACTAATTTAATGCAAAATAAAAGGAAAAAAAAGGGAAAATATTTTAAAAAATTAGAAGATTAGTGTTGGATAATTACTTAAATGTTTTGGATATTTAAATAAGATATCGGATAAGAACATGAAAAATATTTTAAAAGTGAATTTAAAAAAATCTCTTTGTTATTTTGTATAAATTAATTTAAAAATTAACTTTTCAATTTGATTTTCAATATGCTTTTGTCAAAATTTAAAAATTTCTTTTGTTCTTCTTTTTTCTATCTAAAAATCTAAACTATGTGAACTTAGTTCAAATAATTTATGTATAACAGTTTTGCGTTTCGTGCAAAAATATTAAGGCTCCCATGGAGTTGATATGATCGCCCTGAAAGTTGCACATTGTTCACGGTTGTTGGCGAGGCGCATCTGGGATTTAAATAATGAATAAATTAGTATTTAATCAAGAGATTTGATGTGTTCACTGATAGCTGCTCTTCTTAATTAATTTAAAAAACATTTCTTTTTTTTCAATACTTTTCTTTTTTACTCTCAAAATTTTTTAAACATTAATTTTATTGTTCTTTAATTATTTAATTTTACTAATTTTTTTAAAATAATTTTATATTTAAAGTAATTTTTAAAAATTATTTTATTTTACACGCAAATTAAATTTTATGAGAATTAATTACAGTAATTTATTATAAAAAATTAAATACAAAAATATTTCAATATCGTTTAAATAAAATTATATAATTTTTAATAAAATTTCCTTGACAATTTAATATTCAATTTGAGTGCAAACTAATTTTAAATGACGATTTTATATTTGGAAATTTTAAAATTAAGTTTTTTAAAGAATTATTTTAAAAGAAAGTTGAAACATTAATTTTATTTTCCAATAAATTAGATTTATTTTCTTGTTTTTACGTAATATTTTTAAAGTTTCTTTATTTTTTTGTATTTTTTAGACTTTATTTTTTATTTACCAATTGTTCTACTACACAGAATGCTGTTTCCTCTGTGGAGGTGAAAACGGCACGAGTACCTTTCTTGTTTTTGTCTTTTGTTATTATTTTCTATTGTAACTAGGTAAATCATTTAAAACTAGGGTTGTGATATATGTAAATTTTCCTCATTTTGTGGTTTTTTGATTTGTCGATGTAGATTATTTTTAAAAATGCGGATTTGCGGATTTTTGTGGTTTTTTTTGAAAAAAATTTTTTTCTCTTCTATCCTTCCAGAATTCTCAAAATTTTCGACTGCGGTGCTTAAAATGGAAGAAATCTGATTCAAAACCCTCAAAATTTTCGCTATGTTGCAAACGGATTTCTTAGCTGAAAATTACGGATTTTTAAAAATTCGAGATCCGAATCCGGTTTAAAATAATTTAGTTATCTTCTTATCCCAATGAATTAGCTATCTCATTTCCATCAATTTTAATTAAATAAATATTCTAATAATTATGACAAATTTAAAATTTAATTAATTAATTTGAAAATAAATTATTAATAAAATATATAAAATTTTTTAGTCATTTTTAGATTATATATTTTTTTTTCAATTTTTTAGTTTAGAAATTAAATTAATTTTTAGAGAATAATTCGAACAAATTATTTGTTAATTTAATTTATTTTTTATTTAAATTAATTTAATTTAACATTGAACTTTTCAATTTTTTTGTAATTATTAAAGAATTCTTTTTTATTTAAATAGAAAATTAAATAAATAATTTAAAGAAAATTGAGAATTTCCGATATTTAAAATAAATTGGTCAATTCTTTCTTTCCCTTTTTTTCAATACCGGAATTATTTATTTATTCACAAAATATATTTTGTTTTTCTCCTTTTTATTTAAATAAAATATTTATTTAATGCACTTTTACGGATAAATATATTTTTCTAAAAAGATTTTTTTGTAAAAAATATATAAAATTATTCTAACGTGTATTTTATTAGTTAATATTATTCTAAATTCTGAATAGATATTTGAAGAAAGAAATTTCTTTATATTTTTTTTAATAAATAGAGAATTAATTACAATTTAGATTTACATAGGTAAATTATGTTTTAATTTTAGTTGTATTTCGAGACGAGACTGACAAGCATTTTAAATTTAAAAATTATAGTTATGTTCTTCAATATGTCGCTAAATAATACCATAAATAAATTTTTATAGTAATATATTAGGTCATAATTATGGACATACCGGAATTATTCATAAAATATTTTTGTTTTTTGATTTTAATTTGAAAAATTCAAAAAAAAATTCAAAAGGAATAAAAAAATTACCTGATTATTGAATATTCTGTGAAATTTTTCCAAATTTTGTTATTTTTTCGAAAATGTAGAATATATTTGTAATTAATTAAAAGTACCTCTATATTTTTATTTTATTTAGTTTATTTTTTCAAAAATATTATTTACTAATTTTACTCGCCCACTTGTTTCTACATCATTTAAATCTCATTCTAAAATAAATGAGATCTCTGCTTATTCTTGTTTTATAAATATTTAAAATAATTTCTAAAGATCATTAATAAATAACAAAATAGTTTAAATGTTCATTTTTTAATTTTCCAAAAATTTAGTAATTTTAATCTTTTAATCTGCTTATAGTTATTAAATAAATTCCTCTAAAATATGTGATTTATGAAATGTTTATTTAATAATAAAAACCATAAATCAGTCATTAATGACCAAATAACAATTTAAAAAAATTAAAATACCTAAAAGTTTAACCACATGTCGGGAATCCTTTTACTTGTTGTTCTCACTAAAAGTTATCGGGGCGAGGACTCTGCTTAAATAAAAATAATTTAAGAATAATTACTTAAATAAGTTGATTAATAATTTTTTTTAATTTTTTTTTTCAGAAAATATTTTTTCTAATATTTTCTAAAATTAGTTTTTTTCTAAGTAACCTTTAAAAGTTATCTTTTAAAATACTAAATTGCCTATACTTTCTTTCCCTCTCTCTTTATTCCAAAAATATATTTTTGTTTTAAAATTATATTTATTTAAATAACCGGAAATTCTTTTTTTTCAAATTTTTGAAACTTTTAGTTAACAAATTTGCATTTAAAATAACCAAAGTTTAAAGAAACAATTTTAAACCCGTGGGAGTATTTTTTATTTTAAATTAAAAATTACTTCTTTACATAAATATACAAGTAGTAGAACTAATTTTGGCATTTGAATTTTGTTATAGTATATTCTCGCTAATTTATATACTCATTCTAGTGAATATTTTAAGGAGTACCTAAGCGATACCTCCGCTATTTTACTATTTATTTTAGTCTATAATTTTTCCAAATTTAAATTTGACTGTAGTATATATTTATTTATTTAGAGAATTGTCAGCATATTTATTTAATAATATATTTTTTCTCTATAAATTTATTTTTTCTTCTTTTCTCAATAACAATAAAACTTTTAGACTTTAACAAAATAAAGCTTTTTCTCACTACAAACCTTCAATTTTTGTTTTTATTATTTTTTTTTCTAAAAATTTTCTTTTGTTTTATTTCTATTAAAACACTCTTTTAGTGAATTAATTTAAGTAAAATAAAAGAAAATATAATCTTATTTTTTATTTGCATTTTTTCTCATCATTTGACTTTGTGTGCCGCACTTTTAAAAAACAAAAAAATAAAAGATAAGAAACCTTTCGGGAAGTAAAAAATGTTTAAAAAACTAATTAATTTAAAAAAATATTTTTTTTTGAATTTTGTTTCATCCCGAGAAATTTTAATTTTATTTTTAAATAAAAAATATATTTTTTATCAAAAATAAAAAAGTAAAAAAATAATTTTAATTTTTTTATTTTTAAAAATATTTATAATTACCAGCCAAAATATTTTTTACAAACATCAAGACTAATTAAATATATAATTTATATTTAATAATTATTAAAATAATTTATAGAAAATATTTTAACAGATTTAATAACAATTTTATTTTAATTTGTATTTTACCTAATTATATGATTTTTTAATTAGAATTCTTTTTTTATTCTCACAAAATAAATAAATATATTTTTAATTTCAATTACTTATTTTTTAAATTAACTTTTTATTAAATTTTATTCCAGATTCAATTCAAATAAATTTTTCTTTTGAAATTTTTTTATAATTTATTTTTCCATTTAATACCTTCCAATTAACTTATTCTTCTTAAAAAATTAATTACCAGTTTTGATTCCCCCACCGTCTCCGTGGCAAAAATCACAGCACCCACCGTCCCCGTGAAAATAGCCACCTAACCGTAAATGTTAAACCCTAAACTTAAAGAAAACAATTTAATTATAAATATATTTTTTATTTAATCCAGACATCATTTTAAATTAAATATTTATATTGTTAACAAAAGAAAGTCCAGACAAAGTCCAGACATTAATTTTTAAATATAAAAAAAGTGTGGGAGGACATCCTACAGATTTACTATTAAAAAATAAAATAAAAATTATTCTTTCTCTCATTTTTTTAAAAATATAAAGAAATAATATTTTGTACTTTATTAATTACTTTAAAATTTTATAAACATATAAGTAAACTTTAATTTAAACTGATAAAAATACCTATATTTAATTAATTATTTTTTTCCTTTAAACTAAAAATTTATAAATAATTTTCAAATTTATTTAAAAAATTATTATTAAATTTATTTTGAATTATTTTGTTACCCAATCCTTCCAAATTTTATTTTTTTTGTCGACTAGTCTGCTTAAATTATATTATTAAAATAATTTTTTTCTATTATATATACTAAAATTCTCTCAATTATTTATTAGCTCTAATTATTCCCAACAAATTTCAATTATTTAAACTTTTATTTTTTACCTAAATTTATTTCAATTATTGACTCCATTTAATAATTAAATTTATTTTTTAAAATTTAATTCGTTTGTGTATTCCAAAACCTACATAAAATTAAAAAAAATTTTTTCCTTTATTAAATTAACTTTCAAAAACGTGTGTAGGCGGATTGCAGTAATTTGAGTTAATGGAAGCAAACAGAAAACAAAGGGAATCAATTGTTAAAACCCTTGAATAATTTAAAAAGGTTATAGTATGTATAAAACCATTTAAATATTTACATATTTAAAAAATATATTTAACCTTTTATTTTACTGTTGGAAGGAGGGAGGGGGGGGGGGGGGGTGGGGGGTGGGTGGAGAAAAACATTATTTATTCAATTTCTTTACTTAATTTAATTTTTTTTCTTAACTGAAAATTGAATTTATTACAAATAAATAAAAGGCTTATTGGTATAATATTGAGAGAATAAATGATGTAAATTACTAAATATATTTTACTATTTTCAAGTATTTTACATAAAAGATATTTTTTTAAATAAATTAGAATTAATTAGGAAGAAGTTTTTGAAGGAAATAATTCTTTAATTTCCATATTGACCAGAAATTAGCTATAGAAAATCCCCCACCCCTCCACCCCACCCTCAGATATTCGAGGATATAGAAATTTTTCTGATTTTCTATACCTACATAATTAAGAATTGTATTTATTTTTTAAAATTGTTTTTGTTTGTTTATCTACTTTAATTTTTTAAATTGTAAAAGAAACTATTTGGGGAATATTTAAAATAAAAATTCAAAGAAAATTATCTACTCTCATAAACCCAGAGAAAATTAATTATTTCTCGTCTACATACTTTCTCTTACATTTTTTTTCTAAACTTTTATTTGCAATTAAAACACGCAACATAAAAAAATAAATACAAATAAAATACATCATTTTTTATGTTATATTTATTCTTTTTTATATTTTTTTTTAAATTTTAATTAATTTTTTTCTTTATTTTTTTTTGTAAAATAAAATTTAAAGGGATATATTTTGTCTTGATAATTTTTTAAAATTTTAAATGCGTGTTTAAATAAATTACAAATATTCTCTTTCATTATTGTTTCAAAATTTACTTTTAAAATAAAAAAAGAATTTAAGAATTAAAATGATACATGCATATTTTTTGCAAAAATTTATTTCTTCTTTGTTCTTTTTAATATAAATAATTGAAAATTAGAAATAAAAAAGGATTTGTCTCCAGACTTGCCGTAAATGTTTAGCACTTAATTTTATATAAAAAATGTATTTTCTTCTCCTCTTTTTTTTCAAATTATTTTATTTATACTTTTCGATTTTATACACGCAATACTTTAAAAATATAAAAAATTTATTTCTTTATTTCCGTTTTAATTTTCTTCTTAGAATAATTATATTTAAATATTTACATATTTAATAATTAAAAAAGTATTTGGGGAATTAAAGAAAAAGTAAAAGAAATGTTTGAGTTAATTAATTTTTTTATTAAAAATTGCCTAAACAGGTGATAAAAATGAATATAAATTATTTCATTTAAAAAATCTAAAAGTAAAACAAAGTACATTTAATTTTCTAAGAGGGCGTAAGAATTTGTCCTTAGAATCTAAAAATATTTAATTTAAATAAATAAATTTATGTTAATATTAAATATTTTTTCAATTTTTAAAATTTTTTAAAATTAAATAATATATTTTTTTCAATTAATACAATTTAATTTTCCCTCTCTTTGTCACGAGTCTAATCTTTTTGTTTTACTTAATTTTTAAATAAATTTATAAAATAGTAAAATATTTTAATTTATTTTCCAACTAAAAACTTAAAGTTCATCTCCAGTGTTGTGTATGGCTCCGGAAGCTAGCTCCGGAGCTGCAGTCGGAGCCAACAAATGCGCAAAATACAGCACTGTTCTCCTCTATTAGCTATAGCCATCAAAAATCACTCCTTGCCCTATACTTTATAAGATTATTTATTTACTAGTTTGTTTTTAATTTTAATATTATTTATAATCATAAAAACATCACTTTATAATTATTTTCTAATTTTTCTTCCGCATTCTTTTTATAACATTTTTTGTCTGTCCAAACATTTAGACTTTTTTGTTTTTAATTCCCTTAAGACATTAATTATTTAAAAAATTATTGTTTTTATAAATCAATTTTTTAGTCTTTTAATGGATATTAACAGCACTATTAATAGTTTAAATCCACATTTGGATATTTCTTCAAATTCTACTAAGCTTAATAATTTACAAAATTCTTCACAAATTTTAAGTGCAGAAATGCAAGAATGGTTAGATGGAGCTGAGTGGAATGGTTGGGATGAACAAAAATTTAGAGAAGAATTTATGGAAGAAATTAAAGCTAGAATTTTTAGAATGGAAGTAAGTATATGAATAAATAAATATTTTTAAAATAATAATTAAAAGTTTTTTTTTAAATTTATTATAAAGGTGATGGGGGGGGGGGGGTTAATTGAAGGCGTAATGAAAATCTTTGGGGAATTTTCTGAATCAATTTTCCCAATCTTTTTTTTTTATTTTTGGGATGGATTCGGGCTCTTTTTTATCAAAAGAAATGAAAATCATAATTATAAAATTTTCACTTTTGAGTTCGATTCGTCTTATTGTTAAATTTGCTAATTTTAAATTAATTTATTAAAAAATAAATAAAAATTTAATTAATTTCAGATGTACAAAATCGTTATTCCAATGTTTTTAACAGCATCTATACTTGCTATTCTTGCCAATTTAGTAGTTATTGCGGCTTTAAGATCTGCAAAAGTTATTAGAACTGCTACTGTTGTTTTAATACTTTCATTAACTTTTTCTGATATTTGGTATGTCTCTCTCTTTAAAGTTTTTTAAAGAATTTTATTTAATTTTTAGGACAAGTATTGTTGTTTCACTTTCTTTACTTTATAATTCTTATATGCCTATTGTGCTTGAAGCAGATGTAAATCCTTGTATTTCTCTTACCTTAGAGGTAATACAGCAATTTACTAATAACAGAATCTAAGAGTTAGTATAATATTGATATTTAATCCTTGTTAACTTTTGACTAATTCCCAATGTCAGGTTGATTCAAATAATTATTAGAGGAAATGCGGGCAATGACTGAACAATTCTTATTTAGTCCTTTCAAAATTTTTTTATAACCATCTTTTTTAACAAACATTTTTCTTCAGCTTTTACGTACCGGAGGAATGATTTCAGCAACATTACACCTACTTTTAATTGCTCTTCACCACTTTGTTGGTATTGCCCGCCCTCAAACACCTCGATCAGCAGGACAAGATAGAAGGGCACTTTTTGCTTGTTTAATAGCTTGGATTGCTCCTTTTTCTGTTTTATTGTTTTTATCTCTGGGAATTAAAGGACAAGGCTATTGGAATTGTCAACATGTTGATTTTTATCATTCTCGTTTATTTCGGCTTTTTGTTTCATTTTTACTTGTTGCTATATTTTTGTTGATAACTTCTTTTTATATTTGCTTGGTAATTTAAAATTAAATTTAAAAATAATTTTTTTAAATTCTTTAGTTAGTCAAATTACGTGCTAACCGTAAACGATTTAGCAACAAGAATGAATCAATTTATGGACAGAGGTAATTAAATATAAATATTTTATTTAATTTTTAATAATTTAAAATTTTTATAGAAAAAGTTCTTTGGAAAAAAATCGTCGAGAAATGCGAACTACAGTAACGGCCATTTTAATTTGTGCAAGTTTTTTTCTTGGTTGGGCACCAGCAGCAATATTATTTGCGTTAACTTGTGAGGATTGTGGAGTTCTTTTGGACAGAAAAAGTTTTCGGGCAATATTTTTACTTTCTTGTCTTCAATTGGCTTTTATATTGTTAAAATCTTTTTTAAATCCGTTAATTTATTCTTTGAGAGTGCCCGATGTTGATACACAAGTACGTCTTTTTAGACGGAAATTACAAAATTCTTTTGGTGGAACTTTTATGTAAGAAAATGTTTTTTTTTAATTTTTTAAAATATTTTTTATTTTTTTAGAAGATTAAGAAATCCTCCAACAGTAGAACTTTAAAAGGAATTTATATATTTAATTTGTTTTTAAAAATAAAAATTGTTAGGGTTTTTTAAATTATATAAAAAATATTGTTTTATATAAATAATTTATATTGATAAAATTGTTTAAAACTTAAATTTTAATGGTGGAGATTTTCTCCCACCAATTTTTGGTTCTTAGAAATTATTGTATATAATGTTCATGCTGTGGAAAAATTTATTGGATGGGAGATGGAATTGAACCATCACGGAAAGGGCCTAACCGATTGGTTATTTATTTGGTTATTTTATTTTCATTTATATTCTTTCTGCAAGTGCGGACACAACAAAAATTAATTTCACGAATCGAGAATTTTTAAGAATAATTCTCTAAATTAAATGACGTATCTGATTCAAAAAATAAAAACTCAAACATTAATCAAAAAGTCAAACATTTTATAATAATGTGACAATCTAAACTACATTTTTAGTAAATAATGTTTAAAATTAATGCTAAAAGTAATCAGAAATTAGTTATCAAAAATTTAAAGAAAACTCTTAATATACTTTTAGCATTAATGAATAATTGGGAGATATACTTTGTAATCAGTTGTAGGGAGGTAATTGAACAGTACTCGATATTTTTTTGGGTATTTTTTAAATAAAAATACAAATTTAATGAAAATTAATTTTGTTAAAATATAAAAAAATTTTTGGTCGAGTACTGTGATATATAAATAAATAATTTAAAAAGGAAATTGTGATAATATATCACATTTACTTAAAGGTATATCAGGCTTTTAAATAAAAATTTAAAAAATGTTTCTATTAAAAAGAAACAAAAATTCTTTTTAAATAAAATAAATGTAATTAATTTTACTGAAAATACTAAAATAAAATTGTTTTTCTCCAAAATAGAATTTAGCCATCTATCAAAGGTCGAAATCAGAATAAGGGTGAATTTTTAGGTAACTTTAAAACCCTTCAATTTCAAAAAAGATTTAGTTCAGAAAATTTCGTAGTTTTCAAAAAAAATTAATTACATACTACATTTGTACAAATCTTTTAAAACCCAAAAAATACTTTTAAACCCAAAAAATAATTTTTAAACCCAAAAAATAAAAAAACATTTAAAATAAATTTTAAACCTTTCCTCTCAACTTTTTAAATTCTTCTACCTCAATCGTCAAGTTCTTCAATAGAATCTTCATTTTCTATAGACTTAAAAGAGGGTCCATCTCCCTTCGCATCATCAAAATTTTCCTCATTTCGAACAACATCCATTTCCTCAAAACGTTCAAAACGTAAATGTTCTGTATCAATAGAACAAAAAGAATGCCAATTTCGTAATTGATATTCTATGAATAATTCACATTTATTTTTCAAATTTTCTTCCCCAATTTCCTTACAAACATTAATTAACTTTTCTTTAATTTGTATTTGTAAATTCTCGTATTGTCTAAAAAAAATAATAAAGTTACTAATAAAATAAATGATTGGAGAATGTGTGACTAGACTAAAATTTAATAAGACTTATTTCCAAATCACTACATATTGGTGAATCCTCTTCACCAATAGTGATGCCGCTCTATACCGCCCCAAAACTTCTTTCAATCTATTATTATGCTTCCGTTTTTTTATTTTTTTTCTTTGGAGAAGGGCAAATCTCGAATGTGATTTAATATTTAATTTACCCGATATCAATACGTTTCTGCCCCAAAACTTCATTCAATTCCAATCCATATTCCTGTCCAACTCCATTACTCAAAAAATCAGAAATCTTCACAGTTCCATCTTTATTGAATGAATTTTCAATTCTTTTAGTTAAACAATATCCAACAAATAGATCACCAGAATTTTCAAATTTCTTTTTAATTGCCTCACTTTCAGGCAATATTTGTTTATAAAAAATATTTTTTTCCTTTTCCTCTTCGAAAAATAATTTTTTCCAATTTTCCACCAAAAATTTATATTTATTTTCCAATCGTTCATCAAATTCTTTAATATTCTTAATTAATTCCCTCATTTCATCAAGAATCTCGTTTTGTCGTATATTTTCTTTTTCATTAAACTTGACTTTTCTAGACTCTTTCCAAAACTGTAAAATACGTGCAGCCCTAAACTTTGCAAGTTCCTCAATTTCCTTTAATTCTTTAAAATAAGCAATCATTGGATTTGTATTATCAATTAAATTAATTGCTTCATTCAAATTTTCGAATAATTTGTTTAAATTTGTTTTTGTAATTTTTTGATTTAAAAGCTCTTTAACTTTTTTTAATAATTTAAATATCTCCTCAATTTGTTTGGCTTCGTCCGAATATTTATTTAATTTTAAACCGTTTACTAAATTACTCTGTAGATTTTCAATTATAAATTTACATTTCTCTTTAAAAGACTTTTCATTTGAAACAAAATTTGGGTTTAATGATGTTTTAGACAAAACAATAAAATCTAAACATTTTTGACATTCGGTTTTTAATTTAATATTCCATTCAAACTGTTGAAAGTATTCAAAATTAATATGTCTCAAATCTTTTGTCAATCTTTTAATATTTTCCATTTTCTTTTCTTCATTTTGTTTTTCAAATATTTCTTTGATCTAAAAATTATTTTTATTTAAATTTTTTAAAAAAATTATAAATGGTTTTGATATTATAACTAGTGAGAATAATTTATGGGTTTATTTTATTGGGTTCTAGGTGAGGTATGACTTCGGAGTGAAGTATTTATTTACATAACTTCAATCAAGAATATTTTACGGATATAGAATAAATATGATAAAATAGAGAACTGAGTAAGGAATAAATTTTATTAAAAGTTTATAAGATTCATACTACCATCGTTGTATAGGGACGGACGCTTGTGTTAAGTATAAGATTTTTGCGGTTGAAAATTTATAACTGGGCCGTATGTCATTTTCGGGCCTGCTTTTTATTGAATTGGGCCAGATAAGTTACTTTCGGGCCAAATATCCTATGCCTGACTTGGACCCTTCGGTCTGAGTCTGTCCATTGTGGCAACTTTTCATTATTCAGTCGCCTCATTTTTATAGTCTTGTATATTATAGTCATATTTCCACGTTATCCCAGTTTCAAAAAACAATTATTTAATCCCAATATTTAAATAAACTTTACTTTATCTAATTCAAATCCAATTGTTTCAGAATAATTCTTTAGTTGTTTTTCTTGTTGATTTATATTTTCATTATTCCCTAAACTTTCAATTTCCGTTGGATGTTCTAATCCTGATTGAATTGTTTCTGTCAAAATTTTACTTTTGATTTTTGATTCAATTAATTTGTGTGCTTCAGTGAATGTGACTTTGTGAAGTTTAGAATTGCTTACTTAATTATACATAGATAAATTAAATTTTATATAAAAAATATTAATTAATTTAATCGAAAATATTTTTTTTCAAATTAATTTCTTTAAATATTTTACTTACAGATTTCCTCAAAAATTTCCTCTTTTTGTTTGCTAGTTATCATTTTATTTTCATTAATGTCAATCCCTTCTAAATATGCCAACCGAAAACCGTCTTTTTGCATTCCAATTTCATCATCTTTTTTTAAATTAAAAATATTTTTATTTTAAAAATTAAATATGTAAATTACTTACAATAATTAACTGCCCACTCCTCAGTTCTCTCAAAATCCAAAATATTCTTGTCAATATAACAATAATTATTTGAATTATTTTTTAACTCATTTTCAAAATCCTCTTTAGTTTTGAATTTCAAATAAATGCCCGAATAAATGTCGAGAACATGTTTATAATACCTAAATTTAATTTAGAGAAAAATTTTTATTATTGTGGAAGTATTAAGATATTAAAACAAAATATTGAAAATTCCCTGAAAATTACTCTTAAATGTTTCTAATAATAAGGAATTTAAAAGAATAAAAATTCTTCATAAAGGCACAAATTTTGAATTAAAAATGTGTAATTTCTTGACACCCATTTTTGAAAAAAAAAACTTGATAAAACCGATCAAGTTATAGATATTTTTTTAAAATTATGTTGATAATGTTTAGTGTTAAATAATGTCTATAATTTATTTTAAATTAATTTTTACATTTTATCAACTCTCTTCTTTCCCAATTTTCCACTCATTTCCAGTCCATATTCCATCAGATTTGTGTTTGAAATATTTTGTAATAAAATATCCATATTAACAACTCCATCTTCATTAAACATTTCCAAAAATTTATTTGTTAAACAATAAAGAATTGCTGATAAACTTGAAGTATTTATTGTCTCGTTGATGATTACACTTTCCTTTATTTGAAATTATTAGAAATTAATTATTTAAAAAATATTTTTTTGTATTTAATCTTAAAATCCGTGAATATTTTTTTTTCTAAAATTTTTGTTTTCTTTCCCTATACAAGACTAAACAAAATTTAAAATCTAAATTTACTTCAATTCCTCGTTGACTACTTTCACCAATTTCTTTTTCTTTTTTTCTTTGTATTTTTTCATAATTATCAATTAAAAATAGCAATTTACTCATTAATCTATCAACATATTCTTTAATTTTTTCTTCCATTTTGTTTTCAAATTCCGAATTATTTTTATTTAAAATAACAATTAAATCATTTTTCTTCTCCAAATTTTTAATTTTATCTTTTAATTTGTTTTCATATTCATTTATTTTTTCGATTAAATTTTCCAAATTTAATTTTTTCGAATTCCCCATTTTTTCAATTTTTTCTGTATTTTCACATTTATTTTTAAAATTTAAAAAGAATTTTTCATTCAAAACTTTTCCAGATTCTCCTCTATTTTTATCATTTTCTACCTCTTTTTCTGCTCCTTCTTCCTCTAACAAATCATTTTCTCGATTTTCTTGTAAAACAACAAATTTCAAAACATAAACAGACAACAAACATTCATTTAATTTAGTTTTTAATTTAATTGACGTTTCAATTCGAGACAATTCTTTTTTAACAATTAATTTTTGTTGGGCATTTTTAATTATTTTTAACTGTAATAAATAAAAAATTATTAAATTTTAAAAGATTTTTAAGTAAATTAATACAAATATATATTATTTTTAGAAAAGGAAAATTAAATATGCTGACTAGACAGATTATGTGTTTCATTAATTACAAAAAAATATATTATTAACAATGTAAATTAAGGTATAATATACTTGATAATTCCCCTCCATTTTCTTAAAAAATACTTTCTAAACTTTACCAACCTTTTCAATTTCCGATTTTGCTTTCCAATAAATTGTTTTCACATTTTGTAATTGTTCTTTTAATTCTTTTATTTTTATTGTTGTTTCTTTCTTCTTTAATATTCCATGTAAAGAAGAAATAATTGTATGTACTTCGGTAAATGTTAATTTATTTAAATTAAATAAATCCACTTAAAATTAAAGAAAATTAAATATTTATTTATTTATTTAATTCCTTACATGCTGCTTTTTTGAAATCAAACCATTCGTCATTTGCCAAATTCAAATATTTAAAATCATTTTCTTCAACGCCAATGAATTTCATATCCGCGAGGTGGAAATCATCATCAAGAATTGTTTTGGCTTTTTAAGAGGAAAATGAATTATAGTATTTTTTAGGTGTTTTTAAACATTCCTAACCGTCAAAATTTAACTAGTTATTATGTTCCAGAAATACAATATTGCCCCGCCTTTTAAGGATCTTCTTACTTTATTATAGAAAGTCCCGTTCCCTTTTTATTTTTTAGGTTAGATTCTATCAAATCCTTTTACATATCTCTTCACCTACAAATTTTCACCAGATATTTTAACTTTACTATAGAATTCCCTATTACCTATATTATTAAATTTATAATTTTATTAAAATAATTACAAATTTGTAAATTCCACTCTTCTGGGTGCTCAAATTGTACATGATCTTTATCAATGCCACAAACATTAGATACAATTTCCTCCAACTCTTCTTCTTGAATTCTAAGTGTGTTTAGGATTTTTTCTTTTAAATTATTTTCTATTTTTTTATAAAATCTGAAAATGAAATGAATATACATATGTAGATAGTATGTAAATACATTTTAAATTATTCACAAAATTAATACTTTTTAAGAATATATGAATTTTCAATATCTATTAGTGTCTATAGGGGTAAACAAAGACAGGTAGCCGAACCGGAACGTTTACCCGATGTTTTTGGCTTTTTGGAGATTAACCGGAAACGAAAAAAGTACCGATTAATAACCGATTGTGCCCAAAAATAGTGTTTAGCCATATATTTAAAATTATTTTATTAAAAAACCCCCAAAGAGTCGATTAAAACATGTATTATAATTAAAACTTACTCCAAATTCACTCTTTTATTTCCCAAAATTTGATTAATTTCACTTGCATATTTAAATAAATGTGAATCTGTTTCCTTATAAAATTTTGTCTTTGCCTGCCCCTCCTCGTTAAAAATAACTTGAAATCTTTTTGCCAAACAATAACCAATAATCAAATAACCATCTTTCTCCAAATTTTTTAATTGTTTATTTGATTTCACCAATTCTTTCCAATTTTTCTCAAGAAATTCGAATTTTGAGATAAAACGTTCACGATAGGCTTTGTCTTCTTCTTTCACCTAAATTATAATTAAAATAATATTTAAAATTATAGTGAACATACTTCTTTTTTAAATTCCCCCAACATTTTCTTTATTTTATCCAATTTTTTCAACTTTTTTAATTTCTTCAAATCTTTTAAAAGTATATTTTTATTATCCAATTCATTTTGGATATTTTTTAAATTTTTTATAAATTTCCTTGTTCTTTTAGCCATTCTCCCCAAATATTTTTTTAAATTTAATCTTTTATTAAATAAATCAGAAACTCTTTCCCATTTTTTTCTTTCAAATGCATCATCCTCTGTTAAAGGTTTATTTATTTCTTTTTTCAATTTATCCTCAAAATGTTTTTCTACTTTCTCTTTTTGTTTTGTTATTTTTTCATTTAAGGATTTTATAATCTCTTTTTTAGTTTCATTTTTAACAAAATTTAGATGACGGGAGATATATCGAAGAATATTTTTTGTTGATTCTCCAAATTTACATTCAGTTTTGAAATCATTAATTACTTTAAACAAAAAATCTGGGGCACGTTTTTCAATATTCAAATTCACTGAAAATTAAAAATATTTTTAAAAAACATTGATAAAAACAATTTTTTTCTGATTTTTAAAATTAATTTAAATATTTATGAATTTAGAAAAAAAAATATTTATGAAATTTAGCCTATATAAGACTGCCAAAAAATTTTTATCAGAAAATAAACACAAAAACTCTTTTAAACAAACCTTCTCCTTCTTGTGATTTTTCTAAATTTTCTTCTAATTTTAACAAAAATTCCTTTCGTAATTTATATTTAATATCTATTTTATCTAAATCTTGTTTTTTCTCTCCCAACATTGCATCTGTTGCTTTTCTAAGAAAACCTTTCTTTCTTTTTGAATCTTTTTCTATTAAATAATTATCAGTTTCAATTCTTTTATCAGTCTTTCTCACTTCACTTTCATCTAATTCATCTTCATTATCAATCTCCAAAGCAGTGAATTGTAAAATTTTTGCATATAAACTACATTCAATTAATTTACTTCTGTATTTTATATTTGTTTCGAAATTGGTTAAAGCTTTTTCGAGTTTAGGTAAATTTAAATTTATATCTTCTTTGGTATTTTCAATCTAAAAATAATTTTTAAAATAATTCTTTCAAATTAACAACAAACTTTATTTAAAATTTCAAAAACGCCAAAGTTGATTTTTTTATTATTTTTCACATTTCTTTCGAAATATTTAAAATATTTTTCATCCGTTTGTTCTTCGGCATTCTTCGGCATATTCTTAACATTTTCCCAATCGTTTAGTATAATAATAAAATGATGACTTTCTGTCAATGTCATTTTATGTTTTTCATGAAAAGGTGCTTAAAATATTTTAAATTACTTAATATACATATAAAAATTTTATTAAAATCCAAAAATAATTTTTAAAATAAATATACCGTATTTCATCTAATAGAATGCCCGGGCATTTTATTTTTCAATCATCCTCTAAAGAGGCATTCTACTAGATGGGGAATTTAATTAGAGTAAATACGGTATATCTTTTAGTCTTCTCATAATTTGAATAATCCCGTAAAAACTAACCAATTTCATTTATAAATCCATTGAATTTTTCTTCATCAATTCCTGGCATTTTTAACATTTTTTCCAAAGGTCCCTTCAAATAAGACATTTTAAATGTTAAATCTTCACGATAATCATCTTCTTTAAAGAAAGGAAGGGCTAATTTACTTAAATTAATTTGTTTAAATAATGACGGTTTTGTCATAAATTTAAAGAAAACAATCATAAATTTAGTTATCCCTTTGCCATATCTATACAAAATTTGTCCTTTTGGATGATATATTTCATAAACTTCTTTTTCTTTAATTTCTTGAAATTCTTTATTTGGATGGTCCATTTGTTTTATTGTTCGGTCAATTATAAGGCGAACCTTTTAATAAAAAATATTAAAACATAGTTAAATGCTTATTTTAGCAAATATGTAAATCTTATTATTTCTAATTGACACCTAAAAATTGTGACACCTAATTGTGACACCTAAAAAGTTCTACGTTTTTAGTTCCTCGCAGTTGTACTTAGTGTCAAAAACAAAGAATTTTAAAAACTGAGACCGAAAAATATTGATAATACATATTACAACTATGAGCAAAATATAAATGTTATGAAGTCGTGGCAAAAAAACGAGCATATTAAGTAGTACTTTCTTGTATTTGTTATTAGTAGAAAGGTTAAATATGTTAAATTTAACAGTGTTAAATTTAACCCTGTTTTAAATACACATACAGGGTGCCCAAAAGTAACTGCACACCTAGTTTATGTCCTAACTTTATTTAAATTTAAGATAATGTGATCAGATAAGGATAACATTATCAGTTTTTTAAAGTTAACAACTCCAATATAATCTTTCAGAAAAATATCTTACCATTTGCTTATTTTTCATTGTGTCCGTACTCCACCACTTTTCAATATATTCATTTCCAAGACTATTCGCCGAAACAATGGTAGCAACAAATGAACAGATTTCTGTCGGCGTGTTAATTATAATTAAAGCAATCTTCAGAATTACTATTGGCATTCCATATAGTGATGGAAAAAAGAAAGTAATTAAAACAATTTGACTTAATAAAGACCCAATTCCCATTGAATTAATTGCCATTGAAGATTTTTTCTGAATATCCATTGATGCTTCAATTTTTTCTTTAATATGTTCACGGAAAGCTAAGTTTCTTTCTTCATTTGTAATAACCGGAGATGTTTCTGGCTTTTTTGGAGCAAAGGAGCGAAAAGTAATTTTATGCCAAAATTTTTCCCTTTTCTTTTTTGATTTTTCCCTCCATTCAACAACGAGTGTATCACCATTTGGTTTTGGCAAAAATTTTTGGTCATATAATTTGTAAAGTGCGGCACGTTGAAGGTCACGCCATTCATGGAATTCTAAAGGTACCATTGCGCCAGATGTAGCTGTAGCTACCTATATAAATTTTAGAAATTATTCTGCATATACCAATTAAATTTTGGTATATATTGAATATTTTATAACGACTAATTAGACAAATTTATCGGTTATATCTTGACAATAACTTTAAAAGAACTGATATTTCTAAAAATTTTCTATGGATATGTGTGACTTTGATTATCATTAAAGAAAGATTTGTTTTAAAAAAATGTTTTAAAAACAAACTATATTCGTAGGCAAATTTGGTCCTATCGCTGACATCCCCAATGCTTTCCCAATCTTTTCCATTGCTAATGCATTGTTCATTAAAGAACCGCCAGAAGCAATCGTACCCGCTTTGAAAGCACCCTTCAAATCATCAAGAAATTTGTCCAGCGTAGAAGGGAAAAATTTGCCTCCATCAAGTGAGATTAAAAGGCGTTTAATCACAAGAGAATCAAATGTTTCAGCCGCCAGAGGAGTCAGCGAATAAAGAAATATCCCAATAATATGAGCACAGAGAGGACATCCAGATAATGAAATTAGAAAAATACATAAAGGCCAAAGACCGAGGTCTAAAATTAGTGCAATTGTACCAGCACCGCCTAAACTCCATAACAACCCGTTCAAAATATCCATAGTTAATTGTTTAGCATTGTAAACTGATCCGATTATTTGCGCGCCAATTCTTAAAATTTAAAAATTAAAAAAATACTTAAATAAAATAGTAGTATATATGTATATTGAGAGTCAACACCTAGTTGGGCAACTCCTTATCAAATTATTAAAAAAATAATAAATTAAAGAACAAACCTTCCGCGAAATTCCTGATGTATAGGGTCATCTATACCCTCATATCGTAATACTTTTAGTAGAGGACCCTTTAATCCATAACAATTTTTAATTTCTTCATCAATTGCCAATAAATCACTTCTAATAGCTTTTAAAACATTTACATCGAATTTTCTATATTTCTCAACTTTTATCTTTCCCTTTTTTGTTAATTTCAAAATCCATTCCCAAATCTCATTTTTAATTCCCAAATTTAGCCATTTAAACTCTTCATTTAACAAATCATTCAAATAAACATCTTCTAAAGAATTTTCTTCATTATTTTCTTCTTTTCCCTTTTCCTTTTTCAGTTCCTTTTCCATTTTTAACATTTCCCTAAATATAAATCTCATAATTCTTCCACTCAATTTTCTCTTCCATTTATTTTCTTTTATGTTTTTTCCACTATTTTCCGTTTGAGGAATAATAAATTCTTCCGGGTTTTTAAAGAATTCTATCATTTCTTCATATTCTTCTCCACTTATTTTTTTGAAACGTTTGTTTGATGGTTTAACACTTACACCAAAACTAATTTCCTAAATTTAAATTTATAATTTCAAAACAGGAGTATTTATGTAAAAATTAGTGCTATACTACAGGAAATGAGTTTTAGTTTTATATTAGGGTTGTTGGCGGTCGTTTAACCGAACCGAACCGAAACCGAAAACCGGAGGTCGTAAACCGGCCAAAACTGAAAACCGAGGGTACCGGTTTTTAACCTGTCGCCAACAACCCTATTTTATATCAATAAACTTTGCTCAGTTCCGATCAGAGGTGAATCGCAACTGATGAAGGTGCCGGAAATAGGAACTGTCGAAAATCGGAATTCTGATTTAACTCTGCATGGGGATAAAGAGTAGCATAAAAATGCTGGAGAATACAATCAAGTTATTAATTAACTGGGAGGGTCGAAGTTTCGGATTATTTATATAAAATTAAACTTTCTTACTTGGAGGAATTTAAATGGATGAACTTTTTGTTCAGTCATCATTTTATGATTTTCTTCATCTTTTTCTACTTTAATTTTCTCAGCAAACATTGCCCTTGCTTTTTCTTCCCAATCATTCAACATTTTATTCCATTCTTTTATTTTATCTTCTTTTTCTTTTAAAGTCTCTAATTCATCTAATTGATCAGTAAACGACTTTGTAATTGAATTAACTTTTTCATTGAGTTCATATTCTAATTTATCATTTAATTTTAAATGTCCAGCTTCTTCCATTTGTTGAATAGCATCAATATTTATACTAACTAAATCCTCATCCTCTACTTCTTGGCTCTAAATAGGTAGTAATACTCATTTTAATTTTCTATTTTATACGTAAAATTTTTATTTTTTTACGTGAGGAGATGGGGAGTCGGCAAAAATTTAGACTTTCTTGAAAAATAGAATGGAATGTCTTTTACTTCATAACCTTTTTCTATTTATTGGGATATGATGGCGCCTTTGTTTTAAGATTTTAATTTAGTCAAATTTTAATTTCAATTTAATCAAATTTAAAAGTTGTATATTTAAATAATCATTTTTAAAATACGAGAATCGTATTTACTTGTGTCGATGCTTGTTGAAGTGAATCTCTTTCATCTCTTTTCGACAAAAGTGGTGACTCCTTTTTTTCCTCTTCTAGTTCCACTTCCTTTGGCATAGAATTCGCAGGTGATTTTTTTGTTTTTGCAAAAAGATTTATTGGATTATAACTAAATCGGCTTTCTTTTTTCTTGGCTTCCACTTTTTTCATGTCTTCCACTTTTTTCTGTGCTTTTTCGACAGCTTTTCTCAATAATTTCGCACTTCTTTGGAAAATTTTTTAGCGGTCTTTTTCATTCTTTGTCTTTTCCCTTTCTCATATTTATATTCCTTTTCTGGGATTTTCTCCCAATCCAAAAATATATCTTTGCCACCCAAACCTTTACTTCCTTTGTAAATAACTTCTAATAAAATTAAAGTACTCAAACGAACATCCCCCTCATCATCATCATCTTCTTCTTCTTCTTTATCTTCAATTTCTTCTTCTCCCTCCCCTTCCTCGCTCTCTGGTTTAACATAGACCATTTTCTCCTCTCCATGTACCAATTCTTCCAAACCTTCTTCAGAAAATGTCAATGCCGAATCAAGCAAAAATGATTTCCCAAAAATATTTTTCGGTAATGGGAAGCCTATATTACATTTATCGGCAGGAAAAAGCACTTTCTCAAGTTTCTTTCGAACCCCAACTTTATCAATTTTTAAATAAATATATTCGAACATTTTTGCTACAGTTCTATCTTTTGATGTTATAAATTTACATCCTTTTAAATCTTTTGGAGCTTCACTAGCTTCTCCAACTGCTTCTTCTCCAACTTCTGCTTCTCCAGCTCTTTCTTCTCCAACTGCTTCTTTTTCGTCGTTTTGTTTTTTCATTGATTTATCTTCATTTATATCTTCGTAGCAGAAAATATCAGCATCAATCGGCTCAGGCAAGAAATATTGGTTAGTCCCGACCAATTTCTGAACATATTCTTCAGCAACAATTTTGTCACTTCCATATTCAAAATGGTCATAATTTGGGGTTGATTCTCCAGAGATTGAACTAATTTTTGAACTATTTCGCCCAAAACTTTTTCGGCCTGAACCTGATTTTGAATTTTTTGAATTTCCATTTTGTATCAGAGAAGTAAACAAATAAAACAGAAAAAATATCAGGAATGATTTCTTTCGTTTCATCTAAAAACAAAAATTGGAAGTAAATAGATTAAATAGGTAGGTTATGAGTAAAAAATATCGATGTTCCTATAATTATGTTACAAACTGTAGGTATTTATTTCTAGATATTATTTTTGTTTTATATTATTTATAACTTAAAAGGCTACAATTTTTTGAGAAGTTTTTTTTATTTTAGAATTTCTGATTTCAAATATTTTAAATATTTATTACTAAATATTTAAAAAATAAAAAAATATTAAATTTTATTAATAATGTAAAATTTATAAAAAAACTTGGCTAAAATTAATGAATTAGAAGAAAACAATCCCACAAAAATTAAGCATTGGACAATTACAAACTAAAACATGACTAAGTGAATTCAATGGCCCGATTGCTTTTTGATTTCCTGGAACCAAAAATAGTTTAGGACTGTTAAATAAAAATTTTAGTGATAGTCAAAAAATTTTAAATTCTATAGTTTTTTAAATATTTTAGACATTTTCTATTATATATTTGTTTATGTATTTATTTAAAAGAGAAAAGAATAATTAAATTTATTTATTAATTAAAGTTTTTAATATTTTAAATTATTTAAATGATTATTTAAGAGTAAATCGCAGGTTTATAAGATACAATTACAAACTGTGGGCGTGGGGATAAGTGGGCGGGGGGATAAAAAGCGCGGGCATAAAAAAATTTAAATTAAATATTGCCAAATTTTGTCAAGAGGGGGGAGGGAGGAGAGGGGAGCGAGGAGGACGTTTAGAGGAGGATAAGTGCGGGCGTAAAAAATTGAAATTAAATATTGCCAAATTTTGTCAAGGAGGGGGGGGGGGGAGTGGAGGGGAGGGAGGAGGGCATTGAGAGTGCGGGCGTAAAAAAATTTAAATTAAATATTGACAAATTTTGTCAAGGGGAGAAGGGAGGGAGAAGGGCATTGAGAGTGCGGGCGTAAAAAAAGTTAAATTAAATATTGCCAAATTTTGTCAAGGAGGGGGGGGGGGGAGAAGGGCATTGAGAGGGAGATAAGCGCGGGCGTAAAAAAATTTAAATTAAATATTGACAAATTTTGTCAAGGGGAGAAGGGCTTGAAAATATAATATTAATTGATTAGAAATTTAAATTTATGTTTAAAAAAGACAAAAAGAATTTTTAAATAATTTTTTAATTTAATTCAAAAAAGTTTTTTAGCCAATAAAAAGTTTTAACTTAAATTGTTCGGAGAAATATTTATTTTTATCAAATAAATATATTCTATCGAAAAACAGTATTCTATAGTTTATAAATTGTCATATATTTGGTTTAAAATACTTCTTGATGGGCTTAGACAAACAAAAATTCTTATTTATTTTTATGTTCATTCATTATATTTTATCAAATAAATTGAGATTTTCTTTGACTAAATATCTTATTTTAACTTGAATTCAATACCAAATAGTCTTTGTTTGTAAATCCAGTTTCTTCGCTTATTTACAAACGAAAACAGATTTTATTATTTTAATTGTAAGAGAAATATTTATATTAAAATAACTTTTGTTTCTTTTTTGTATATCCACTTTTTAATTATTATAATTTGGTACTACTTTTTTACTAAATTCTTTTTTTCTAACAAATAATATACATATAAGTATATACCTATTTTAACAATTTAAAAAAAATATATTTTTTCTATAAATTATTTTATTAATTAAAAATAATTTTCACTTACTGAAACAAGTTTTCTTTTTTATATTTAAAAAAATAAAAGGTACTACTAATATTAACATAAAAAAGGTTAAGTTGAAATTCTAATTAAAATATGTAAAGAAGCTACTTTTTTGAAGAATGTGCTAGGTCAAGTTAGCCCCTTATTTTCTTTTATTTTCCTGTTTCTTTTATTTATTATTCCTCCTTTTTTTGTAATTATTTATTGTTATTAATCTTATAATAATGAATTAAATCTGGTATTTTAATAAAAATGGGAGGAATATTTTTCTAAAATAATTTTCACCTTTTCTAAAACATTTTGTGTGTATATAAAGGTTAAAGTTATAATTATTTATTATTAGCCTTCCAGTTTTAGATATTTTTAAAGTTTAGGATAGAAAGTGAATCTTTTACGACTTTTATTTTTTTCGATAGTTAAAAGAATAATTAAATTAAATTTTATAAATTTAATTAAAATAAATATATAAATTAATTTTAATTTCTTCAAAACAATGAAAATCTTCAATAATAAATTAATTTTTATTTTACTAATTATTATTCATTTGTTTACATATTTTGAACCCAATAATGGATGTGGATTTCCTGTTCCCCAATCAGCACCTCCTGTTTGTGTTTGTGGAGGTGGGGGCGGAGGAGGTTATGGATGTGGGGGTGGGGGTGGTGGATGTTGTGGGAGAAGGAAACGTGAAGTAAATTTATTTGATTATTTTTAATTTAAAATTAATTTAATAACTAACTTAATTTTAATAATAAATAAATATTTTTTAGGTAATCCAACCTCATTTTAAAGGAGTGGAACTCCCTTGTCCTCAAACTGAATGGAGTTTAATTATGGAAAAAGTTGCTTTTTCTTATAAGAAAATATTAAATATTTGGTATTTCCAAAATATATATTGGGTTCCCCTAAATTTATAGTAAAGGATTTTTTAATAATTAAAAAATCAGCTATTTTTTGATCATTTAAAATATATTAGGGAGTTTAAACTTTATGGAAACATTTAGTGTTAATTAAAGTAAAGGAAAGGAGACTCAAATGTAATAAATTTTGAAATATAAACTCTAATATACTTTTTACAATAATCAACTTCAAACGCACTTATCGTCGATTGACAATCACAAGCGGACAAAGAAATATATTTTTCTAAAAATATATTTTAAAGCTATTTATTAAAGCTATAATCACGAGTAAATTCACATGTGTAAAGTCGCGAGTTAAATAGCATGTGTTAAAGTGCGGGAAAAAAAGATAAAGCTAATTAAAATTCAATAAAAAAATTTTTTAAATATAAAATAAATAGAAATACAGTAATATTTGTTTTCCCGTTTTTGGTTTCTCTTTTCTTAAGCACTAAAACTTTTAGTAAATATTTTTTAAAAATAAATATTTCTTAAAATTTATTTTCAATTTCTAGGCAATCCTTCCAAACAATCCAACGACATCCATTAATTCAATTCAAACTGCTTTGTTTTCCCATTTTCCCGGCACTAAATTTATCACAACTTGTGATAAAACTTCAAAAGCAATTGACAACAATAAAGAAGAAAATAAAATCAAAGAAATGCCGATATTTAGCGCTGCAGGGGATGGATATTGTAATGTTGTTGTTAAAGAGATTTGGTGCCAAGTTGTTGCCCTACAAGCTTGAATATCTGTGGAGAGTGATATTAATAAATATTATTTAATATTTAATTTATAAGAGGCTTTAACTATTTAAAAACATTTTTGAAACTCGAATTCTGATAAATTTTGTTTTAAATATACATAGGTATTTACTGTGTTTTTACTTTACTTAAAAAATTGGAAAAAAACTAAATACATTATTCAATAAAAATTTTTTGAGGAATTTATTTAAGTGTGATTGTTCTATTTAGGTATTTCAGAATATTTAATAAAACTCTTAAATTGTGCAATAAAAAAAATTAATTTAAAGGTAGAAAAATGTTAATTTTATTTATTGAAATTAAAAGGCACAAAACTTATATTTAATAATTAATATTTATTATTTCCTTCTTGTCATCATTTCAGTAAATTCTAAAATTAAATAAATGTTAAAAATATTTTTTTAATTTTCACCAATAAAATTAATTTTTCCATCTTTATTAGTATCAACTTGTAAATAAATTGCTTTTATCTCTTTATCATCTAAATCATGCCCCATTTTTTGAAAGGCAGTTCTTAGTTCTGATCTGAAAAAAAGTTCTTTTATTCTTTTCTTTATTCTATATATTGCAGATTGTCAAGGAACCTAGTATCGTTAAACGCCGAAAGTTTGGAAGCAGATTTAGGGTTGGTGGATCCGGATAACCGGATCCGCTTTTTTCGGGGCTTGAGTCGGGTCGGAGACAATGCTAAAAAATCGTTCGGAGTTTTTAAGGATAATGATAGTGGATTAGCTCGAGCAATTGTTAAAAATTTTAAAATATATTTTTTGATAATAACTATGAAAATTCCTTCTCAATACAGTAAATTTCCTTTTCCTACATGCTTTTGATCTCGCAAAATAATATAAAAATAAATCTTTATGAAAAGAAGCGAAGAGGCGAAAAACTTTTTAAAATTTTACTTTAAGGAAAAAACAAAAATTTTGTAATTTTGCCTGTCTAATAATTTTTTCCTTTAAATATTTATGTTGACATTTATAAGAATTATAGGTAAATGGGAGGAGATAACAAACTTTTCAAATATTTAAGAGATTTAATCCCACCCATATAAATATCATTCAAAGACGAAGAATAAATATCTGTGTTTAATCATTTTAAATTAAATAAATTTTTAATTCTATGGAAACTATAATAAAAATTTTTTACGTTTTTATATTCCTGAAAAATATATTTAAAATTTATATGTAAAAAGATTTTTTCCGGAAAGTTTTTATTATTTTAGGCTTATATTTACATTCCTGAATGTGTTCTATTCTATCTCCAATAAGTTTTTTTGAAACACATTTAATTGTGTTTTTTGTAAAGTTTTTATTAATTGAAGTTTTTTTGGGTACTTGACGGTTATACGCCCACAAACTGAGTGGCATCCGACATTGATTGTTAATAACTTTTTTGAGCTTGATCCAATTCAAATAAATCTTATCATTCGAAAGCCCTCGATAAGCGGTACCTTATAAGCGGTACCTTATACCTTATCAATTCTGATCATTCATTTAAAAGATATGATACGATAAGTCCAGTTATTTAGTGCTTTCCAGATTTATCGGTTATAATTCGGCCGGCACTCAGTTTGTGGGCGTATAACCGATAATTGTCGCGAAGCGACAAAAGATGAGGAAAATAAAATAAATATATTTTAATTTATTTCTAAATTAATCATCACTTTTTGCAAATTCCTTTTTCGGACTTTCACCTGGCTAAAAACCATTTTTGCTGTAAACATCTATTCAAAACCTATTTACATTTTTAGTCCTTTTGTTCTAAAACTTAACTTTATTTTCCACTCTTTTGTATCATTCAAATATGTGCATTTTTATTTACTCGTTCCTATTATGCCTTTAATGATCGAAATATTTTTCTGTCTACCCGCCTATTTTTCTGGCCTATATAATCTCCCACCCCAACCCCCAATTAGCTTCTTTCTGGGTTGGCTAGCTTTCTCATTAGCTCATTCTGTTTGGCTTGCTTCTCTTGGTTTTATAGCTCTGGTTCCTATTTGTGGCCTTATCATTAATCTATTTGTTGGACTATTTAATTGTGTGAAATAAACTTTTTACTATTTGTTTGGTTTTAATTTATTTGGTGGTCAAATCCCTCGGCCAACTGCGTTGGAATCTTTTGGCCTAATCCAAGTAAAAGCTTTTGCTGAATTAATTTGTTGGTACTAAACCCTTGGCCAATTGTGTTGGAATCTTTTGGCCTAACCCAGCTTTTGCCCCTATTTGTGTATTGGCTCTATTTGTTTGCTATAATAATTACCTTTTTTGATTTCCCGGAATATTTATATTAACTTTCGATTTTCCTGAATATGTTCTATTTATTTTTCCGTAAAGTATTCTATTTTGTTTCTTGAAAAATTTATTTTTAAGTGAGTTTCGAGTTTGTATTTTGAAGTTAAATTTAAATGTTTTCCAGAAAATCTATATTATATATTTACTGTAAATTAAGTTTTTCCGGAAGTATTCTATTACTTGTATATTTTATATTTAATTTCCGGAAGTTGTTCTATTTTGTTTTCGGAAAGTTTTATATTCTGTTCTTGGGTTAATCTGTTTTTTAAAACAATTAAAATGTGTCTTCCGGAATGTTTATATTATTTTATGTTTTATCTTTATTTTCCGGAATGTATTCTATTTAATTTTTGAAGAATTTATATTTGTTTTCCGGAATGTGTATTTTATTTAATTAATGTCTTATATTTACTAGAGCCCGGACCGTACCGTACTACGGCCGTATTTTTCGGCATTTTTCGGTATTCCGTATCTGTAATACGGTACGGAAAAACTAAAATACCGATACAACCGACCGATGAAATTTTTCAAAATTTTATTGTATTTTAAGGTAAAAAAGGCTTCTTGTCCATTGAAAATTCTAAAAAAATTTGAAATTCATCGGTGTTTATCGGTATCGGTATTATACGGTAGTACGTTACGGAATACGGTACGGTACGAAATTCCGGGCCTTAATATTTACCCTTTGGAAACAATTTATGAATGGAATACACATAATTTAAAATACTTTTCAGATAAAAATGGAAAATTCCCAAAATAAAAATTACAAAAAATACAAAAACAATAAAAATTATTCCCCTTTGCCTCTTGAATTGCTATTTGATTTAATTAAAGCAGCTAATATAAATAATAAATTAATAAATAATCATACAATTGGAAAAACAAAATTGGAGTTAAAATGGAAGGAATATGCTACAAAACTCTCAACTTCTTCTTTGTTATTTTATACTTTAGCTGGGAAAAATTTTAGAAAAATGTTTATAAAATTTAAGGTAGTTATAATCAGTCATAAGATTAATATTTTTTATAGCCAATATCAGAGATATTTCATTAGAATATATATCGTTATCGGTATTTTAGATAATCATGAATATTTCAGGAAATTTTATATACCAACTAGAGCTCGGACCGTACCGTACTACGGCCGTATTTTTCGGTATTTATCGGTATTCCGTATCGGTAATACGGTACGGATTACGGTACGGTAAAATTTTAAAGTTGATCGGTATTTATCGGTATCGGTATTTTTCGGTATTCCGTACCGTTCTACGGTACGGCAAAACTAAAATACCGATAATACCGACCGATATAAATTTTAAATTATTATTTGATTTTAAGGGAAAATATTCTTCTTATCCTTAATAATTTTAAAAATTTTCGCCTGCGGCGCTAAAAATAGAAGAAATTAACCTACTTGGACTTCAAAATTCTAATAATTTTCGCCTGCGGCACTGAAAATATTGTTTTAAATGAAGGATATAGAGGAAATATTAGTAATTAAGAATGGATTTAGGGAATTAACAGAGGTATCTAATGATTTGTTATGATTAAGTGGATTTGTGAAGATTAAATGGATTTTATAGGGCCTAAGTTCAAGTCTAGAGATTAAGAGATATCTGGATCAGGGCTGGACGCAACTGAAAAAAATTTCCGCAGCCGCAGTCCGCAATTGCGTCCAGCCCTAATCTGGATTGGGAATAGAGGATTTGAGGGTAATTTGGTATTAAGAATATTTGAAGGTAAATCCCCTTAGTCCCGATAAATCCACTTATATTCTCAATAATCATCCTATCCCGAATCCTCATTAATCACTAGAAATCAAAAGAATATTTTCTTTAATCCCTGTCTATCATTAAAATCCTCTAAATCTTCAGATATCCCTCCATATCTATCTTAATAATTTAAATCCAAGAAAGATTTATATATATCTAAAGATTTTTTATATCTGATAAGAAGATTTTT